GCTATCTAAAATGGATTTTAATTCATCCGATATTAAACGCACCATTTTTAGATTAATGATTCGCAGTGATTTGTCCTCCATCATTGCGATTATTTCACCAGCCCTGAAAACAGAGGCCGGAGGGATAAAAACAACACATCTTTGCAACAAATATAATGAAAAAGTTTAATATTTACCTTTCTGAACGACCTAAAAATTCACGTTTAGTGAACTCATCTCCATAATCAATAATCTTAAGAGAGCGAGAAAGTATAGTGACTGTACTGCCCAGATAAAAGTCAAAAAGTTTCAGCCCTTCAATCCTAGTGGGTTTAAGAAAAAGCCTATTAGTTTTCTCTTCATGCTTCAGGAGAAATAAAGAAATCAATGATGGTTACCATTTCCACGGAAGAACTCTTCGTATGATATATCAGCTGAAATCTTTTGATCAAAGATGATATCGCATCAAACCATTCAACCAAGAAACAGTATGATGGGTCGGTTTTACTCTAAAGATATTAATAAATATATAAGTACTTACCATACTCTGTAGTGTTTGACCTTTTGTATATTTTTGGTTAACTTTAGAAAAATTTACTTGCTGGGGGAGTTTAATGAGCAATGTTCAAAGAAATCTGGAAAAAAATAAAGTGAAAATGTTAGCCGATGACTTAGTAAGATCATAGGATGCACTGACATCCAGAAATGAGTTCCATCGAAAACAATAAAAAATAATACAAGTATGGAACTAGAACAATCTGCTAGTCGAGACTAAAATCTGATGGGATAATGTTTTTACAACGTTACTGTTCGTTCTTTTAAATTAATGCACGTAATCGTCTAAGTGATAATACTACATTCAGTCAGTCAAACAATCGTACCTGCCTTCAAATGTTCAGATAACGCACGACGCAAAAGTGTTATTTGCGGAAAAATTACCAATAAATAGACTTTTTGATAAAATAAGGTACCTGATCTCTAACCTTTGGGACATCCATCTTGTTTGTCTAATTTTTTCGGAACATTTCATCAAACGTCTCTAACCACTGACTGGATGTATACAGAGCTGCATCCCTTTGCTTATATGACTCAGTTCAATCTATGAGATCTTACGCGGAAGGAAAATCACAGTCTCTACTGATTCGTCCTATGTGATCATCAGCAGTTTGATGTTCAGCACTTCTGAGCAACTTATTTGGGTTGTAGACAGAAAAATATATTTAATGTGAACTGGGATGCGTTTCGCAGAATGACTGTGCCTGCAAATTTGAGACATGCTATACCAATACTTTATTCTACCTTTCATCATTGCTAAACTACTCTGTGTTAGATGTTGGATGTGAATTTTCTCAGTTATCTTGTATTCAACTTCAGTGATCGTGTGGTTGGGAGCCGATATTTCTGCACAACTGAATCAGTCGGGATACACATGCGATGAGTTCAGATAAAACTGGTCCCACTCTGCAACACTCGATCGATGTCTTCATGTAACCTGACTTACGATCCAGCACACATGTTTTCATACGTTGTGGCTCATTATACAGACGCAAAAACTGTATACGGGATACCTTTTAATGTTGTCCATCAAGAAATTAATTAATTAAAGTCAACTGTAGTATTTCTTTCGTTTCCAAGACGGCCTCAAGTGAGTCATCAGAAGTCTTTGATATTGATACTGACCTTATATGTGGGATTTCGGTATCCCGTCTATACAAACGTTTTACATGTCATGCTGTAGATCTGTTATAACAACTAACCAAATTAGCCCATAAACCTCTCTTTGGAAGTCTCGTAATTCGTGTGATGACCCAAATGTGTGTTAATTTTTTCGGATACGTCTATTTCTGGGTTTCTATAGCTGCTACTACAACTACTAACAGTAGTACTACGCAGGTCAGTGTATTCCGTCTGAGATTCTTGCGTGTTTCATGTGACTAAACGTTAAACCGTGTTGTTTTGAGTAGCTTTCATGGACATCGAACACCAGTAAGATGTTACCTATCACATAATATATTCATCTATGATGGTTCACAATCATACATGCGTGAAAACGTATCCACCAGAAGTCTCAGTTGCCTAGTCCCAGAAGTTCATTTGTAGTGAATCAAAAAAATGGTTCAAGGTTACCGTAGTGTGTGACAACCTAGAGACTTCAGCTTTACTCATTTTGAATTAGAATTTCGAAAACTTTTATACCCTTTCATTCATTATTACGTCCTGAAAAGCTGCTGTTTTTAACAATATTCAGCTTAAAACTAACACCATTCCTTAGACAATCACTACTTCTTTTCATACATATACTTCATTCCTAGTGAATGCACATGCTAAGCTAACACTCCTGTTCTAAATTTTAGGTAATCAATAACGGCTAACCGCTCATTGTGCATTTAGTGTATTAGCATTTTTCACAAATTTCTAAAGTGTTATATGTTCTGCTTTAGAAGAACAAAACTACTAAGTTGTATGTGGCAAGAACATACTTACCAACAGTAAAGACAGGTTTAATAGAACTGTCAACTTATGTTCATTTGGAAGCCAAACGAACGCGTAGATCGTTGTAGTGTACTCTGCCCTTAGTTTACTAATACTCCATCGTAGACATTGCTCACATGTTAGGGTGTGCTCGAGTTAGCAGCAATGAAATTATGTGCACAGCATTTCAATAAGGTGATAACTTCATCGAAAGAGGTTGGTAGGATATGTATTATGCATATCTTCCCACCTGCTACCGTGGCGCTTCTCTTTACGTATGATAATGTATATCTGTCTCGTTTTACGGCAATAAATACTAGGAGACTTGGTGTCTGGTAAAATAGCGCTGCCAATATTTAAGTTAACTTTCAATGTTTATCCACAGCAGGTCACATGTAATTAAGAAATTGAACATTTCTCTCCCAGAACAGTATGCTGCACTTTTCAAGGGATCAAAAACAGCTAGTTGGCTACCTAGATTTTAATGTTAACTCTTAGGATCATAAATATTAGATATTTTCCTAAGATATAGTCAAACTCGGACGTATAGTCTACAATCGCACACCATATGTATTTATCGCATTCTTTCAAACTAAACACTATACATGATGCACAACAACGGCAGCATCCAAGGAATTTCTATCGTATTTGTAATTGGACTGTTTTGGATCAGTATTTTCATTTAAGGGATGCTTACATGAGATTTTCTACAGTTTGTCGTTTTCAGTAAACGTTAAGGTGTTATTACAGGTACATGTCACCGCTGTGTTACATGTAGCTGATCGAGGAAATGTATTAGCGAGATTATAGGGAGAGAGGGAATTTGTAGATCGCCAGCGTAGATGATCTATGTCGAATGAGTGAGGGCCTACTAAAGTAAGACGGGAATGGTGTGACGAACTAGCTCACGTCGAATTCACCCCTTGCGGTCACCACCTTACGTGGTACTACAGATGCTTTGAAGACTGTACAACGCAAAGAACGTTATTATAGAGATATATTAGTTGAATTTGATACAAGGAAAACAAAGACTAACACCGCATGTGCCAGTCCATGGCGAACGATTAACTGATGCGCACTGGTCATCCTTGACCTTGACTGAGATCGATGATCAGTTCGATATTCAGTGACCTGTAACGGCACAGGTTGGTTGGTTAAGAATTGACCTCAAACAACCAAGCATATGAAAATACACTACAGGTCAAGTATTCTTTCACTTCCTTATTTGCATAGGCGTTATATTTCCTATTATCTTATATTGAATTTTGAGATGCTTGGTTTGTCTGAACAAATAATCTCACGCTCCACTGTGAGGCACGAAAGACCCACCTGCCGGATGATTTGGTCAGTGCTTTCTAAGATATCAAAGGCCCAGCAAATATAATGAATATGACGTATTATAAACAGAAGCCTGATTCTTGCTGTAATGCAGAAATTCTAAGCTTTAGCTTACGGCAGCTAGTAACACTGAAAAATCTCACACTGATCGTTTCCTAAATTTGGCGCTCAAGTACACTGCCGATAATTAATTTTATATGCCGCATAAAATATTGCAAGTGCGATTATTGTATTGACTAAAATAAATTTTACGACAGACAATTTACTAAACAAAATGGTTGTCGTAATTTATAACTCCTTTGAAGCGGCATGTAACTTCAGGTGTCCGACTTTAGGTAATTAAGTCTTTAAACTTTTTAAGCAAGGTATAAGCTAATAAAACGTACCAAAAAAGCCTAAACCATGTTTTTCGAGACTGGAGTTTACAACCATTTAACGTCATAACATGGTTTATTGAACTACACTTAGCTTTAAACCTTTTACTATATTTCACTGACGGTCTAATTCGAAACAACAACAATTACTATTGATTTTTCTAATTCTTATGATAAAACTCCGTCAAGTAATGCGCTTGTTTACTGTAATACAATCTGATATGATGAATAAAAACTCACGGCATAAACTTATTTTTACTAAAAATTACATCATTACATGATAGATTCGTTGACTATATGATTTTAGTATTCACTTATTTGACGTGACAATGTCGAGTATGCATCCACTGGATATTTCATATTACGAGGAGATAAAACGTAGAATTCATTCCTCCAAAAGTGGCGATATTTTACTCTGGTTTTTACTTTCATAAATTCCGACGTGCTTTTTACACATACGAAACCGTAGGAATATATCTGTATTTTCTCTTTCAGTCGTGATATAACATTCTGTTAATTTAGCTTGGTAAAGTGATCGTACCGTAAAACTAGCGACACGGCAAGATGAAAGGACCTTTGATTTAATGTTATTGATCGATTGGCTGAATCAGTACATTTATTTGGACAGTTTCAGTTAGCTAGAATCCAAATAAGCTGAGAATATATGTATATCCAACAGTATTTCAAGATAACTGATCGAATTGTTCACTGGTATGTCTTTTTTACGCAAAAATATTTTTGTGCAACTCGGGCTTCGAAATTTCAGAGTTAAAATTCACTTATCTCTGGTCAGGAAGACTGGGGTTTACCACTATTATATTGGATATTGCACCGTGACCTTGAGAGAGTTTTAAGGAGTTCCTCTCTTATGAAATTGTGTGCTGTAACGTTGGTAACAGTAAGCTGTGGGGTTGTTTAGTTTGAGGATTACTACTTGGTGAAATAACTATGTATTGTTGAATATTTTCTTTTAGTTGACTACTTATCAGGCTGAAAACGTATATTTTAATTTCGTCAGCGATTATTCTTTGGATAAGTAGAAAATAGAAAAGCACGATATTAACAAGTAAAACCAGGTTGTTTTAGAAGAAACAAGTATGCCAGTGTTTTGAAATACTGGATATGTATGCTTCAAATGCACAAGCGAGATACTCATAAGTATCTCGTCTGAACTAAGAAACTTTCCCCATATACGTACGTAAACCTCGCACTTTTTTTGGATTACAGTCATTTGCAATGTGGACGCGTACAGTTTGCAGGAGGACAGATATTTGTTATTGTAGAAATGTAGTGCAGTATCAGAGGCTTGTTCTCCTGTATAAAATAAGTGATTCATTTTTGCCTTCTAGTTGTGGGTTCTACTTCTCATAGTGGTTAAAGACTAGTAGAGATGAAGTGTCGTCAAGTCACTTCTGTTAAATATTTCCAACTGATGATGCTGAGAGCCTAGTCATTATTTTTACAATAAATGAATCTATATAGCTCAGTGACTGCGCAGATGAATATATTTTGATGCACACATTTACGCCTAAGAAGTTCTATGGGCTATTTCCTTGTAAATGACAAACTTTTATTCAATTTACGTGGGTTTTTCCATTGTATAATAGAGGATATTAAAAGTTAAACCACCCTCTTCACTAAAAGAGTTAAAGTCAGTCACACAGAACATTGGAGTAGGGCAATCTTTAATCGATAAAATGTATGTTCGAACAATGTTTAGTCACAGTCTATCATAGGACTTAATCCTAAAATAACAGAACTATCTAATCACTCTCTGTAAGTTGTGATATAATTTTCAAACTTTAATGTGCGGGCGCTAAATTAAGGAAAGAAGATTTTTGTTCGGAAAATGTGTGTCTGGCCTCGTACTGTACTAAACCACGCTTCACGAAATTTTGAAGAAGCCTGTATCAAAAATACAATCAGATCCGACTGGGGACAATTCTTTCCAACTGATGTCCGTTGCATCAGTGTCCCTCGATGTCAGGCGCCTATATTTAATTCAGGACTTATTTTTTTCACAATACAAGTCATGAATAGAGCGGATTAGCCTACGTACGATTGATGGGATCTAGAATAAATATAAAATCTGTAAAAGTGCGTTTACACCTCTTTGCCTCACGAATTCTTCCTCCATGACACTCAAGCGAAGAAACATATATCCCTACTACGTTTAATTATATTACCACTCTACTCCCTACCAATCCTCAGTAAGCTATAACATAATAGTTCAGAAATAATGCCAGAATTCTGCACTAAACAAGTTTCAGTCACGGCTATAATGAGAAGTTTTAATCCATCCAGTAATGCTAGGAAATCATGATCTTTCTAGACTAGTCTATGAGGCTCCTACGGATAACTGAAATTTAGGACTGGTGTTAATTTTAATCGCGATAATCGAAAACGTTTGATTCTTAGTACGTCCAAATATGCACTATTAGCGGTAACACATACAGTTTCGTTCTTGCCTGATGCTAGACTCATCGAAAGTATTTGGTCTTTGATTGGCAATTCTTTATTATTTTATTTATTTATTTGAACACATGAATATTGGTACAAGAGAGCTCCAATATATATGCGCCACACAAAACAATGAGAATTCGAAGAGAAATAGAAAAAAAGCAAAGGGGCGCAAAACAAAAGAGAACAATAACGATGGGATTGGTGTAAGGTAGTATAGTAGAAATGAGGGAACGGAAAGGTACAATCAGAAGAAATCTTTCAGTTAAGGAAGACACAACCACTTTTTATGAAGAAAGTAAAAGAAGGTTACAGCAGGAACGCCACTGGCTTCTATTCTGAGCCATATCTGATAACGTCTCTAGCCACTGTGTAGCACCATCTCTCAGACCCCAACCACGGAGTCGTGAAGGACCAACAAAAGCCAGTCCTTTACAGCTTTCTTTCATGCCACGACACCATGTCATGCACTGACCACCTCTCCGCTTCTTCCAGCCAGTCCCAGAGTCGGCAAATAATGCCCGACGTGGAATTCTCTGGGACGACATTCGTAGAACATGTCCAAGCCACCGAAGTCGGTGTTTCAAGATGGTGACACCAATTGAATTATCATCTCTGTGCCCGAACACACGATGCCGAATCTCTGCATTACTAACATGGTGTTGCCACTGGATGTCAGCAATCCTTCGGAGACAGCGATGATCGAACACAGAGAGTCGTCTAACATCCTCAACTCGGAGAGGCCAGGTTTCACAAGCATAGAGCAGAACTGCTCTCACCGACGCCTTGTATATCAGACCTTTTACTGCCAAACTGACATCACGAAGGCGCCAAAGGTGACCCAGATTGGCATAAGCCACTCTGGCTTTCACCATACATGCATTGATCTCATCACTCACACACCCACCAGCACTTATGCAGTAAGACAGTATCGTCAGCATACTCAAGGTCGAGAAGTCTTTCTCCAGGCAACAGATCCACACCACCATTACTTACATTCATCACAGCTGTTTCCAGAATGTCATCGATGGCAAAGTTGAAGAGGAATGGTGAGATTAGGCAACCCTGCCTAAACCCCACTGCTCGAATGGAACAATGGAGAGAGGTGGTTGTATGCTCTCACTCTGCCTGAGGTGTTTGTATATAGGGCTTTTAGGATGTTAATAAACTTCTCAGGCACACCCTTCTTCAATAGACAATCCCAGAGAACAGTCCCATCTAACGAATCGAAGGCAGCTCTGATGTCAAGAAACACTACGATTGTTGGCCTTTGATAAGTATGGCGGTGTTCTAACATTTGGCGAAGGGTGAAGATATGATCAATACATCCTCGACCAGAACGAAACCCAGCCTGCTCCTCGCGAGTCAATCTTTCTCGGGTTTTGAACAACCTACGAAGTATGATGGAAGCCAATAGCTTGGACGCAATCGGAAGTAGACTTATCCTCCGAGAGTTGTTACAGGAACGACGTGAACCCTTTTTAAAGATAGGGACAACTATCGACTCATTCCATGACGTTGGTACACTCTCTAGTTCCCAAACCTTTGTAAACAACGTCGTCAATTCCTTAGTCAAAAAGTCACCACCATCTTTGAAAAGAGCCGGAGGTAAGTCATCTAAGCCAGGTGATTTGTAACGCTTCAAAAGTTGGAGTTCCTTGCGGACTTCCTCCTCGTTTAGTGGATCAGTCGACACCGGCCATGGAGGGCAGGACAGTCTGACCGATGTTGCCGGAGCAGCAGGCCAGTCGAACTGCCCTTCGAAAAATTCTGCCCATCGTCCAAGACGTCGATGGATGTTGGTGATTGGCATCCCATCATCCTCGCAGATTGTTTCGCTCACACCAGACTTCTTGCTGCCAGTGGCTCGGATGAGTTGGGAGAGCTTCCGGCAGTTACCAGATGCAGCTGCTGCTTCCAACTCATTAGCACGCTCTGACCACCAGGCTTCTCGGTCATTACGCAAGCTTTTCCCAATTTCCTTACGTAACATCCTTCGTTTGTAGTCAAACTCACGGTCACCCGGAGTAGACCGACGGGCTTCGATTAGTTGTAAGGAGCCTGAAGAAATCCAGTGCTTATAAGCGGGACGTTTCGCGAACTCACAAATGACTTTTTTCGCCATTTTCATGGCGTCATGCAATTGTGACCAATGCTCATCTATACTTTTCGGTGGAACGGTAGCTGGCCTAGCAGCTAGCTCTGTTCGATACTTACTTGCAACAGAAGTTGCAATAAACTTGCTGACATCAATCCTTTGGTGGCCGTCACTTCGTTGTCCACTGAAAAGTAAGGTAAGATTGGCGCAGACCAAGGCATGGTCAGAGTCCAGATAGGTACTCCAAAAGGAGCAGCAGTCTTGTACACAACCACGCCAGCGGTAGCTGATCGTGATGTGATCAATATTTACTCATGCATGTTACAGCAAAATGCCTTACAAAACAACCTCCACTTGGGAGAATCACCGATCCGTGTTTGGTAGACACAGAAATCCGTTTAAAATATCTCTTCTGTTCCGTTCACAACAATTTTAAACCATTAATTACTGAACATCACCCATGTTTTATTTATCTGGCCCTGAGAAATTGTTGATACGCAAGGCTTAGTCAGCCATATATTTCACTTGGGTAAACTATGCAGAGTTTAACGACGTATGTTTGAAAGATTTAGGCTTTTGTTTGGATAAATCTTCAATTTATTTGCCTTCATGTAAACCCATTCAAACCCATCTAATTACCGACTGGATTATTCGTAGTATACACTGACATGTGTGCTATTAACAACTAATTTTAAGTTTGGAATAGTTTATGAGGTTAACTCTACCTGTATAGTTTACGAAAGTCCTCGTTGTTAGTTTATCAGATATCGTCCATATTTTATTGCATACAAACACGGATGGCCGCCGAATGTTTATTTATTCGAACCAACTTCCTGATACTTCCATCATAAATCTAGGTATTGACTGTGATGTCTTCAGATTGTGCTCCATATATCACTATCAAATTGGTTTAGAAAACGTACGTATTAAAAGACAAAATGCCTCTATGGTTCAGGTGGTCCTAATCGAAACTACATACAGGTACATGCATACATGTGTGAGCAAAACTTTCGCTTTTGTGATTCTTGAGTGAAATAAGTCACTAGAATAATAAAGAAACTCATTTATTTATTACTTCAAACTCAAAAGCGAGAAGAAATTTCACCTTTGGTACATTGGTATAGGAAATTTGATAGATGTGATCATAATGTTTTGCCATTACCTTAAGCGCTTTTAGTTCAAACAAGAAATGGACTCTCAGTCAGTCAGCAACAAAGTAGAACTTCGTACGCACATACGTCAGTTCAAGTTGCCGTACTATATTAGCACAGAGATACAGTTGTCGATCCAAATCCCGTAGTGCTAGATGTAGTAAAATTATAAGCTGTAATCAGAAAAATTAGGGTTTGAAGATGTTATTTAAAGAGTATAATCCAGTGAAATAAATTTGGAAAGAGGAAAAAAGGGACATGAAGAATTCAGAAGATTAGAATTTGGGAGAACACAAAGAGTGGATGCACCTGCGCCATTGCAAACGATTTTGAGCCATGTCATTCAGGGTCTCTAACCATCGGTTGCTATCATCTCGCGGTCCCCAACCAGGTAGTCTACACCTACCAACATGGCTCAGTTCACTTGTCAATGACTTCATGGACTTGTGCCATGTTTTGGTTTGGCCGCCCCTAGCTTTCTTCCAACCTACTCCTATACCACTGAACATAGCACGTCGAGGCAGTCGGTCGTTGGGCATATGTAACACGTGTCCCAGCCATCTCAACTGATGAAGTTTCAGTACTTCATCAATTGATTTGCCATCCTTACCTAGTACCCGTTTCCTAACGACTGCATTACTTACTCGATGGTCACAGGATATACGAGCAATGTTTCGAAGACACCTATGATCGAATACTAGTAACCTTCGAATATCCTCTACTCTTACCGGCCATGTTTCACTGCCATAAAGTAGGACGGAACAAACTGCTGCGCAGTAAACACGTCCTTTGGTTGATAGACGGATATCTCGTCTACGCCATAAATGACGCAAGTTGGCAAAAGCTAGTCGAGCCTTCTGTATCCGTGCTGAGATTTCGTCACACACCAGACCACAAGAGCTGATGAAACTTTCAAGATAGGTGAAGCGATCGACACGCTCAACAACTTCACTCCCTATCATTAGTTCGGGTGTCAGTGCAACCCAATCCTGAAGCAACATTTTGCATTTCGAGGGGGGAGAATCGCATCCCGAATATGCTTGCACTGTTGCTTACGATGGTCAGAAGACTCTGCATTTTGTCAGAGTCTTCACCAAATAGAACTATGTAGTCGCCATATTCTAGGTCAAAAAGTGAATCTCCCGGTAGAAGTTCAACCCCTGGAAATCTAGATGAGGAAAGTGTTATCTCTAAAATCACGTCAACGACAAAGTTAAACAAGAATGGAGAGAATGGACAGCCCTGACGAACACCACTTGAGGTAGTCAATTCTGATGACAGTTCGCCATAAGCTCCCACTCGGCCAATGAACTGTTCTTTGGTTGATAGTTTAAAATCTACTAATTAGTGTTTGCGGACTTGAAGTTCATCTGACAACCACTTTCACTCAAATATTTTGTAGACTGACACATCTTTACTGAAAACTAAATAATTTATAGATGACAGAAATTCACTGCCTGGTGTTTGCCCCACTAAATGAAACCGCTGTATTTCATTTTTTACATTAGGAAGATTTACTACAATGTTAAACCTAATTACTCACCCCATTACTTTGAATTACGTTTTATTTTTTGCTTTAAGTAGAGAATTCAATCTCTTTCATTCTTTAGTTCTAATATGTGTAAATATGTTTTAGAAGAGTTATGCACAGACAGACTTTTAGTTCAAGAATCTATTTTTCCAGACACAAGTTTTGGTCAACAAATTTAGAACTAGAAAGATTCAAAACCACATTAATTAACAGCTGCAATTAGCTTACAAGCAACAAACATTACATAAGAAGCATGCTTACTCAGAAAATTAAGGTTATCTGAAAATTAGAATCTAATGAAAGCTTTATGGTCACTGCAGGGGACAAGGTACTGTAATTTTTCGACAAGAATAGTAACAAATAAAATTATCCTTCTGACGAATGATCAGACAAAATTCTGGAAACTAGGGTCATGTTTGAACGTAACAGACTGCACATCGACTGAACACAACATCAAAATCCAACAAGCTTAAAATTTGTTGATACTACTAAACCCTGTGTTGGGATTAATAGTTTTCTAACTAAAAATCTGTCTTCAAATGATTCTAATATCTACGCTTATCACAAAACTTTGAAAAGGAATCAAATTGAGGTGGGTTACTAGGTCCAAACTAAAAAAATAAATTTTAAAGCGCACCAGCTACAAATGCTAGGTAAGTCAGGTTCAAATGATTGGTTACCTAGTCCTTCGATTTGATTGATTCCTACCTTATTTCCCTTGTTTTTTTGCTTCTTGAACATATTTCGATTATGAATGTTTTAGATTTTGAAGTAAATTTTCAGTGGTATATAATCTCTATAGGATCTTTTTTTTAACTCAGTGGCATACGTTCAGTATAATTCAATTTGGCTCAAGGCATATCTTTTCAGTGACTTATCATTAGGTTTGACCTCACATCAACGAATAGATTTGTAATGCTTTCCTGTGATACTGTCGTATTCCTAATTATACGTTCATCTTTCTAACTTTACACATTATACTTATTAACAGATATTGTTACTATCATCATCGTTATCACAATTACCACGACACAACAATTTCTACTTTTTACATACGATTTTAATTTGTTAATTAGGACTCATTACCTTAGGCCATGTAATTTCTATGACTTTTTTCTTGTGTAACTTTGTTAACCTTACTAACTAAGCATCATGGTATTATTTGAGACTTCGTCAATCTATAATCTATTATTTTCGATCCAACCAGAATGTTCCTATGTATACTTCAATATTTTTTATAGTGCAATATTTGTATATTCATAACTGTACAGTCTGAAGAAGTTATTCAAATGTGTTTTCCAAAGTACTAACGTTTTTATAATTATGCTTATACAGTATATTACTATAATATCTAGAAACCGGGACAAAATTGTCAGAACTGTAGTTTAAGCAATATCTTTCAGTGACTGCAGCGTGCTAGTTATCTAAATCGTGTATTTATTATTTTTTAAGGTTCCTAAAAATATAAATCTCTTGATCCAGTCAGCCACAACATGGGGTATTTTATGGTACAATCTAACTCATTTTAATGCGACTTTAAAGATTTATCGAAATTTGTAAGACGTGATAAGCTTATACATTTATTTAACTAGTCTTGTATGGCAAAGTTGTTCATTTGTGAAAACCAAAGTAGTTGCAATACTCACTAAGATCTCTACTAAAATGTCCCTGGAAAGAACGTCTAAAATCATCAAGAAAGGATCAGTATATGTTCGAATGAACTTCTCGAATTCGTTTATATATTCTCAGGCTAATCTAATGTTATTCTGCTTGACTGCTTACTGTAACCGTTCAATTCTATTTATATTATAAGCGTGTTTTATTGATATTAAGTCGAATTTCATGAACATGTTTAAATAATTCCTTAAGTGGTTAAGAATTATGCCAGTGATTTTTTATGTTTATGCTTCTTGTGTTTCAGTTTACTAGTGCTCTAGATTACTATCTTTTTATTTTATAGATTTTTCCCACAATAATGTTTGACTGGTAGGAAGTCCTCATGAACTGTTCTTTACCAGCTAGCTGAACCTTATCAAATCTTTTATCCGAACCACTCCATTAATATGTCCAGTTTCTTGCATAAAGTTTTTAGCAATTATAGCTGTTCTGATGGATTTTACGTGGACAGAGAAGGCTGTAAAACGTTATTTATCGAACTTTATGGAAGGAAGCCGAATAAGGAAGAGACGAAATGTATTTTATCATTTTTTGAATCAAATCCCGATGGTGAGCCAATTGGTCTAACATTTTCCGGGTTTGTAAACTCTTTATTTTCTGATTGTAAATAGTTTTCTTTCTTCTATCCAAATGCTTCAGAATAACCTTCCACATATTGACAAACACAATAGATTATCATTTGATTGTTTAGATCTAGATTCAAAGGACTTTGTTATGATAAATGATTTACACAAAATATGGAGTAGATACTTACCATCTTTACCATCTGGTCTACTGCGTACTATTTTCAGAGAGTTTGACCAAGATTGTGACGGTCGAGTTTCATATGAAGATTATCTACATACTACAAAGTCGTAAGTTTAAAATTTGTTCAGACTTTATGACATAGCATTGTATTTTTATTATCGTCTGAGAAATTATGTTTTTTCAATCTGATGTTATTCAATGTCTTACAGTCACTTATTACAACCAGTGAATATAATCTTTACTGGATACCATAAGGATGTGTTATTATAAGGTTAAAGGTGACCAAATCGAAATAGGAAATTCGTTTGTAACGTCATTGACACCTGACAAAGTCGTACTGAAGAGGGGTCAGCTTTCTGGTTGAAGATGCTTAGTTACATTCTTCAAAATCGATTGTGATAATGTAGTTGTATTTATCCGTTACACCCCCTTAGATTTCGAGCTTAATTTCACCCCTTACCGTTTAATCTGTGATCTTATTTATTCATTTTCAATTATTTTCTTAATATCAACTTTTCACTTTGGTGAGTATTGTTGCTACCCCGTTCACCTCTCGCCTCGCTAATTTTCTTTACCCGTGTACTTATCTTGAATGTACCAACTTCGATCGATTCTCATTCATACCGGATTTTACACTGTCTTCGATTAGCTAACATTACAACTTCCTAATATTTAAATCGTAATAACAAAGATGAAGTTATTGTCTATTTTTTCCTGATAGAGTACGCTTACACATTTGAATTGAACTCCATACACCATAACTTATATTCTATGAGACCTATTTAAAAGCGATTTCTAGTCTCGTACACCATCAAGATTTAATTACTTACGCTTGTTACCCCTTGTGCAGAACCATAGGCCTCCCACCAGTATTCCCCATCCAACTTTGTCCTGAACTTTCTTTTCCAGTTGTTTCCAACTGACATTAATTCTTTTTACGTCTGCCTCCAATTTCCGAAGCAATGTGTGTCTGAGCCTTCTTCTTTATATTTCGCCTTCAGGAGTCCAAGTATGGGCTCGCCTCGTGATGCAGTTTTATGATATAAACCATGTATGTCTTACCCTCCTTCGGCATCTTCCCTTAATTCCTTCTTCAGCTAGAAGTTGGTTTGTTCTTTGCCATAGTAGATTGTTGACGATGGTATCTCGCTAACGGATATTGAGTATATGGCGTAGGTAACTGTTTGCAAATACTTGTACTTTTTGGTGATGGTCGTAATAGTTCTCCAAGTTTCAGCTTAGTACAGTATAACTGTTTTGACGTTCGTACTGATGATTCTAACTTTGATGTTGGCTGATATTTGTTTTGAGTCCCATATGTTCCAATTAAAGAATATATGGGATCATTACATTTGACTTTCCAATCATTTCCCTTATATCTGCATAAGGTCGTTCTTGTTCATCGATGATGCTGCCCAGGTATTTGAATTCTTCCAGCTCTTCTGGAGTTTCTCCACCAAGTGTGATTGCGTTGGTGTTCTTCGTGTTTTATTTGAGGATCTTACTTTTTACCTTGTATATGTTGAGGCCTACTGATGCAGAAGCCGCTGCTGCACTGGTTGTCTCGATCTGTATGTGTTCTTCTGTGTAGGATAGGCGATCTAGGTCATCTGCGAAGTCCAGACCGTCTAGCTGCATTCAACCTGTCCATGGTATTGCATACTAACCCTCAGATATAGAGATTTTCATAATCCATCCGACCAATAGAAGGAAAAGAAAGGGTGAGAGTAAACACCGTTGTCTAACACCGGTTTTCACTTGAAATACATTTATGAGCCGCCCTTCATCCAGGACTTCGCGGTACAGTCCTTCATAAAAAGTCCGTATGATTGTGACAGTCTTGTCAGGTACACCATCATGTCCAAAAACGTTTCATAATATTCTCCTATCCACACTGTAGAACACCTTTTCATAATCAAGGGATTTGATGTGTGGTGAGGAATTACATTCAATTGATTGCTCAAAATGATCCTTAGTGTCGCTATTTGGTCCGTACACGATCAGTCCTAACGGAAGTCAGCCTGTCGATCACGAAGTTGGGTGTCTACTTAATCTTTCATTCAGTTCAACAACACTGTTGAGAACTTTTCCCCGGTACTATTAGTGATGTGATGCTTCTGTATTTCTCACAGTTGCTGAGACCTTTCTTTGGTATATTGATGAGGTATCCTTCTTTCCAGTCTGTAGACACTTGTTCTGTTTCTCAAATCCACCTAAATAAAATGTGGAGTATCTTTGCAGTTACTTCTATGTGTAACTTCGATGCCTTAGCTGGTATATTTATATATTCCCTTTACCACAAGTTTTTATTTGACTCATTATCTACTATTATACGATTTACCACTCTTAATTTATTCACAGTCTTATTTTTGTATAGTGTGATGCGGTCTGATCTGCTTGCATGTAAACTAAGTATGTTTGAAATATATTATTCACAGAGTGGAGGTGGACGTTGTGTTCTGGACTCAACGGGCAAGGCTAGGCGAGAGACTACTATATTGAGGATCAATAAGGATTTAGAGTTGAATCAACGGTGCTAGTGCTAGGTGACGTATCGTTGGTATAACACAGGGAAAAAGTCACAGAAGCCGGTATTTTGATCAATGATCTTGTCACGTAATGGTTGACAGGGGGATAAGTCATAATACTCGCTTTCTTTATTCCTAACTGGTCGCCCTAGTTTGCTGTATTTCCCTTCCGGGTTTTTCGTTGTACCATATAGATGTCCCGTATTTCCTTCTCTTGCAGCCTTTTCCTCTGTCATCCCTAGGTTTAACATGTATTTCCGCTTGTCGGCTCTGATGCTCCTCTTCACTCTCTGGTTTGCCTCTGTAAATTCGGTTTGTGCATGACTTTCTCTGTTCGTGTTCGGTTGTAGTTAATTGCTGTTTTTTTGTTCTTCCTTTCTTGAATGCTGTTCAGGGTTTTGGTAGAGATTCATTCCTTATGATGATGCTTCTTGCGACACAGAACCTCCTGACAAATTGAAGTTATTGCTTGTTTAGTCCGCTTCCACTTATTCTCTATCGTAATTTCCTCTTCTTTGAGTAAGTCTTATAAACTCAGAGCTTGTTGCAGGGAGCTATCTTGAGTTTGTTGACTTTGTCAGTATCTGGAAGAAAGACTGTATTAAACTTTTGCAATGCTGTTTGTCTAGTTGTCCATTACTTCTTTAGTTTAAGTTCAGTCTTGCCCACAACCAGGTGGTGATCTGAGGTTGCTTCTGCTCCTCTCCTTGTCCTAACTTCCTCCATGGGTCCTCTGAAGTTTCTATTCATGCAGATGTAGTCTATCTGGTTCCTTGTAGTGTGATTCGTTGGTACCGATGTAAATTTATGTCTGAGTTTGTGAGGAAAGATAGTGTTTTTCATAACCAATTTGTCGAAGGCATATAAATTTGCATATATATCAACATTCTCATTGCTTTCTCACACTCTATATCGTCCCATGACATCTTCATACTCGTTGTTGTCCATCCCAACTTTGATGTTTAGATCTCCCATCGGATAAACATGTCTTTTCCTGGGCACTTCTCTTTGATCGATTGCACCCTCCCATTTTTAGCGTTTTCATGTTCATCACTGGTGAGTGCATATCGCTACGTGAAATTCGTTGTGATCCCGTCCTTGTTTGTTTTGAAGAATGCTTTGAAGTTTCCGAATCCACGAGATTACCATCCTTTAAGTGCTTTTCGTACTTCTTTGGATAGTGTCAGCGCAACTTCTTGTGTATGTAAGGCGTTCTCTTCATGACCAAAGTACAGTAGTACCTCTACAGAAGCCAATTTGTATATCCTCATTTCCGTAGCTATTTGACTGGTTCCCTCAATCTTATATGTTGTTCGGACATTCCATATACCTATATTGGTATATTTTGTAATCGTCAGAAGTGGCATCGGCCTCGTGATTTCCGAAGAATCTCGACTTTCACTATGAGACTTCATTATTCTAAATGAAGATTCTCCAACTCCCAAGGCTTATTTTAAATGGTTTGATTGTTTTCTTTTTAACATATTTTTAGCAAATTTTTCTTATATGGGATGGGGTTGCTAACTTCATGCTCAATCTTCCTCTTTTATCTAGGCCTAAAACCCGTAGTATCCTTTGAATGGCTAAGGGCGGAGCTCTAGAATGTACATATATATAAATAATCTTAACCGTAAACTTGCATTATAATTTTTTGTCTAACGAATTCGTATGACAATAGGGAAAACTATTTCGATGTGAAAATACTATCTCAGTGTTATAGTATGTAAAATCAGAAGTAATAAAAGGTTTTAAGTACTTGATGTTCATTACTAATAGTTGTAGATCTATGTCATCTTTAACTCTATTCTTGTGTTAATTACATCTGCATTTGTATAATTTAATTAACCATTAGTTACTTGTTTTGCCAACCAACTTTTAGAATGAGATTTTTTACACTATTTAGCATTAATTAATAAGTAAGCAGATTAAAACATACTTTTAATTAAATATAGAAGATTGATCGGTTCATAGTATGAAACTACTTGATTCATAACAATCATGATTAACAATGTTTCTTTAGTTGATATCAGTTTAAAAACAAGAACCATTATCTTCCGTTTGAACAAGTCTTTTATTTTGTCCATCCTGATTAGCTTGTAGTTGACCAGTGAGTATAGACAAACATATTTGATATAGTACATATCTATATTGTGATATTAACGTCTACTCTTTGTACTTTTCTCATAATACACGCTTTTTTCTGGTCCCATCTGCTTCTCGATCGATCAATGGGCTAATTAAATATTATAACGTCTTCACGAATCATCTATTAAACTCTATACCTTCTTTCTATCGATTCCATGTTTAGCATTATTTTGTATGAAGAGAAATAAGTTTGTAATTGTACACTTCTTCTTTCAGTTGTAGTAATATGTAATCAGTCTACGGAAAGTGACTGAAATGGAATATTTCAATGACTTCAAAGAACTTATCATACAATTGATTCTGATTGTATTTCCTGCCTATTCTGTATAAATAAATGTGTGTTTACTTTTTTTTCAAATGTTTGCTTATTTTCATAATTATTTAGATAAAACTAATGATAAAAGTAACACTTGTTGTTCTTTTCTTGTAATATACGTTTCGCAAGTAGTTTTAGAATAAAACAGATAGTTCACTTTGTAGCACTTTGTTGATTGTAACATGTTTCTTTTTTTTTTTTAAAAAAAACAAGCGTTTACTTGGTGTTACAGATTAATAATAAACAATGGTTAAAGTTTTTTTGAAGTCTGTAAACCGTGAATTTCAAACCTTACAAATCATACTGTGAACTCAAACTAAGAAATAATTATACGTTGTTCCCTCATTAAGCGTTGAAGCTGCTAGCTATACACTAAAACCATTGAACTCCATGAGTTTAAAAGAGTTGTCACTAAATGTTATCAATGATTAGTGAGTTAAGGCGTATAGCTTTATGATAGCTATCTTCAGTCATCTTAAAATGAATACAATTTTCTAGTATATTATTTAACTGAACACATTTGTCATATTGTATTAGTGGATGAACATGATTTGATTAAACACTTCAGATTACTATACCATTTTCAATTACCATATTGAAATTGTTTTATTTGATAATTAGTATATTTATTAAACAACCTTTGTGAAATTCCAATTTTCCTGATTTCCTGTCGAAAGAATCCAATCGTAGCTTAAATTTAGACGTACTTTTCTTAAGTATATTACATGCCCCGACAGATTGCAGCCCGGATGCAATCAAGGATGAGTTTTACCACCAGTTATCTGTTCTTCTCCAGAAAGTGCATTCGACAGATATTGTAGAACTAGCCGGAGACTTGAATGCTCAGGTCGGGCGTCTAGGCGGCCGATGAGGACATGTTGATCGCAGGACAGATAACGGGGATCGTCTACTGCAACTTTGCACAGACCACAGGCAGGGTTGCCTAATCTCACCATTCCTCTTCAACTTTGCCATCGATGACATTCTGGAAACAGCTGTGATGAATGTAAGTAATGGTGGTGTGGATCTGTTGCCTGGAGAAAGACTTCTCGACCTTGAGTATGCTGACGATACTGTCTTACTGCATAAGTGCTGGTGGGTGTGTGAGTGATGAGATCAATGCATGTATGGTGAAAGCCAGAGTGGCTTATGCCAATCTGGGTCACCTTTGGCGCCTTCGTGATGTCAGTTTGGCAGTAAAAGGTCTGATATACAAGGCGTCGGTGAGAGCAGTTCTGCTCTATGCTTGTGAAACCTGGCCTCTCCGAGTTGAGGATGTTAGACGACTCTCTGTGTTCGATCATCGCTGTCTCCGAAGGATTGCTGACATCCAGTGGCAACACCATGTTAGTAATGCAGAGATTCGGCATCGTGTGTTCGGGCACAGAGATGATAATTCAATTGGTGTCACCATCTTGAAACACCGACTTCGGTGGCTTGGACATGTTCTACGAATGTCGTCCCAGAGAATTCCACGTCGGGCATTATTTGCCGACTCTGGGACTGGCTGGAAGAAGCGGAGAGGTGGTCAGTGCATGACATGGTGTCGTGGCATGAAAGAAAGCTGTAAAGGACTGGCTTTTGTTGGTCCTTCACGACTCCGTGGTTGGGGTCTGAGAGATGGTGCTACACAGTGGCTAGAGACGTTATCAGATATGGCTCAGAATAGAAGCCAGTGGCGTTCCTGCTGTAACCTTCTTTTACTTTCTTCATAAAAAGTGGTTGTGTCTTCCTTAACTGAAAGATTTCTTCTGATTGTACCTTTCCGTTCCCTCATTTCTACTATACTACCTTACACCAATCCCATCGTTATTGTTCTCTTTTGTTTTGCGCCCCTTTGCTTTTTTTCTATTTCTCTTCGAATTCTCATTGTTTTGTGTGGCGCATATATATTGGAGCTCTCTTGTACCAATATTCATGTGTTCAAATAAATAAATTAATAAGTATATTACAAACTCGAACTAACAATACATAAATATTTTTTCCATAATACCCATTACTAGGTTTTAGATAATGAATTCGACATATGTATAGATAGTATTATCTGATAATTTAGATAAAGTTATATATTCAACATTTTACATTGCGCTAGAAAATTCGGTGAGACTATAATTTATAGACGACTTTGACTGACGCCAAAGTGACCTTGAGAGTGTCTACCTACTTACTAGGGTTAAATAAAGATTTTAAAAGTTAGTAGAATAGAGACAATGATTTACAGTTGATGATTAAAGTTAAGAATTACGTTTATGGTTTTTATCACGAACTGACATCAACTAAAATGCCAAGACACTATTCAGACGAATGGGTGAATGAGTTTCGCGCCAAAATCCAAGTCCTGTTATCCTAAATCTGATTCGTTCGTCTATAAATTATATTCTTGCCGTAAAAATAGAAATAAAATCATTTATTAAGGCCAAGGCAGAGATAAAGATGTTATAAATTTCTTATGGAAACAAAGACTTGGATTGTTGACTCTAATTCTTCTAGTTTCTGTTCATACATAATATGTTGATTGAAATGGGTTATTCACAAGGCTTTCGTGACGAAACACTTACATGTAACTAACAAGAAAATAGGCGACATTAACGGTTAGTAAAAAATAGAAATGATAACAGTTTTCTATTTTCATTTAATGCAAAAGTAAATACACATTTTCTGTGAATTTATGCATCAAATAATATTGTAATTGAAAAATAGAAATATTACAGTTACAACTAGAATGTGTTTATTAACTGAAAGTCATTATATATTGCTTTTTTTTCTATTTGAGAATTCTTTTACTTTACTGTGAAATTTTTCTTTTTTTGGCGGGATTCTTTTTGTTTGATATATTCAATTTCTTGTTCAGTTAGAAAACCACTATGACGTTTCTTAATGTTACATCTATGGAAAAGAGATGACGAAATAGTAGTAAAAATATTATAATCTGAAATCTTGTACAATCGTTATTTGAGAGAGATAAAGAATTGGATTTGGTTAGTTTTTCTTTATTCTTTAAGTAGTACTCGTCACCCATTAAGCATAGTCTAGTTACTATTAAAAACTAGGAATTATTATTAATCTATTATCGTCGGTCCAACGTTAATACTTACGAATTAAATTAGTTTCCAAGGCATCCTTACATCAATAAGATATTCGTAAGCTGTCCAACGACTTACTTTGGGATGAGTCAGTGAAGTTCTAGCATAAAGTCCTGACCTCTGTAGATTGGAGATATCGAGAGTGGAGTCTTCACTAATGCCATTAGATGATGGCCCAATATATTACAAATTAATCATGGTTTGGAATGTTTACCACAGGATGCCAATGTAATAGTTTGTTTCTCCTTCTATTCAGGTTATGGGTGTGCACTATTGAGGAACACCATACTACGACGAAACGACTATCTAGTACTTCATGGTTTTCAATTGTATCTTAATTAAGGTCAGTCAGCGACAAATCAAACTGATCTCAGTAAGGCCTTCATATCAGAATGTAATCTGATTTTTTCAAAATTATGTTATCAAACAATCGTTTTGAGGTATTATTTATTATAATTATAATTTATCGCCCATACCACTACGGAGTATTGAACCTGCGACTATTAGGTCTTGTAGCAAGCACAACATATTCTGACCACTAAGTTGAGATTTTGTATCCAAATTCATAGTTTCGATTAATTTTTGTCTTCATGCTAACGATGAACAACAAGCTTATCCATGACATGAATATCACAATTCAAAGTATCATTGTAACATTTGTAGATCCATACCATAGAAAGTTTCAGCTCATTTCCTAAGCAGAATTCTCCCACTTATTTATCGAAAGTATGCCTGGACACTCTCAAGAACTATATAAGTTTAGACTTACTACCTTAAGAGATATTTTTGTGTAGTTAAAATATCAATTTTTTCTGTCTGCTCTGTGAGGCATCCAGAATTGTTACGTGAAGATAGATTTCATTGCAGACAAGGGGACCCTTTAAAATCAGGAAACTTGAATCCAACCATGAAATATATATCACCAATATCATTAGATGATTGTCTTACACTATCGCGAATTAATTGAAGTTGAAAAAGTAAGCTATTGTTTCATAACTCACTGATATAAAGGTAACGTTCTGGCTGAGAAACCTGTCGGTTCGAAATTTGACCATATGTGGAGTTATGAATACACTCTGTCAGAGCAATATCTAATGAAACAACAAATGACATGTGTTTTTGCTATACGCTTTGAATAATGATGTATATTTCTCATGGTTTCACAATAGTTGCTTCTATTTATCTATCCATTTATTCATTTTTAGAGAACAGTAATAGATTACTTATAATTTTTATGATTATGATTATCATTAGTTTACATTCAGAATCTATGTAGTCAATCTTTGTTTATAAATTGGCTGCTTGATATATTACCCGGTTTTATAAGAGGAAATTCACTATTAAACTTTTGAATATCCACAATAGAATAATGGACAGCTTTTAATCAATAATATGTAAATATATCATGCTCATTGAACAAGTGATAGCTTGCTGACCTAATAATCCAATGAATAACACACTAGAATTTCAGTTGATGTTTACTGGATTTGTTTTTCAAGTGAGGACAAGATCAAAATGTAGATATGTATAATTATTGAGCCTCAATAAAGATTTTACTCTTAGCCAGTACCCAAGGTGTTTATATCAATCGTATCAAGATTCGCTTATTCACTGAACAATTTATTAAATTATTTAAAATACTAGTAACTCAGTAAAAATCTAAGATAATTGTGTTCGAAATGAATAGTTTCACTTATCTATGTCTGCAGTCATTATAATCTAATGATTGACTTTTTCACTAATTCACTGGTGGAGTAAAACATTCAAAAAGTTTTGTTATGATACAACATTTTCTATAATTTGAAAAATTAGAACAAACAAAGTATTTAAACGACTATATAAATCCAACCAAACCTTGTTCATGAAATAGTGGAAATCTTCAAATGGTTTTAAACTTTAAAAAATATGATTCAGATATTTATTATGGTAAGAAAGCAGACTTTGGCTACTGATTAAGTTTTTGAAGTCGTTCATTTTTGAAAGTGACATAATTAAAGACTTTGATTGTATCTCAAAGACTTTTTAGCCATACAGACTACTTTTTACATAATTAATTTGATCAGATTTCTGTATCGAAACATTCCGTTTTTAATATTTGTCCCCTTTCAGGATTGTATTAATTGGAACTAATATTCAGTTTATCATCGAAATATCTGGTTTTAATATAAAAGTTAGCACCTTAAGATATTAGTAGTATCAGGATATAAACAGACAGAAATCAACAAGAATAATACAAAAAGTATAGCATGTTAGCCAGTTGCTTTTATCCTGACTTGAACCTTATCAACAGCTTAACCTGACACAAAGTTGTAACCAAAGTATATTCCTATCTCTCTATAAAGACATCATCGGATAGCTACTGAACAGTCATCACTTTCCAATCTAGTCTATTTGTGACAGAGAAAGATTATCATCTAGTATCGTCGAAGGTCACCAATACCTGATAAGTTCTCCTTGTTTAAAGCCATAACTCATTATTTTGAACTATAAAGTTAGGAAATTTCTTAGCAAGAGAAGTTACTAGTGAGTGGTTGATATTTATTAAACTAGATTGTTCATAAAATTAATTTTTATTCAGGCTAAATGTTTCTTCTTACAATTATCATTACGCGTAAATATGCAGATAATAAATGGCAATGAATTCAAAATTTATTGAAATGAATAAGAAACATTTTAAAATAGTTTATCTAAATTTCTCACATAAATTTACGCGTTCTATGAATATATCTAATAAATATTAGTCACAATAAAACAATACTTATTATGAGCTCTCCTATATTCTTACTTCATAATGACTACTATAGTTTTCGTATACGCAGCGGATTATTCCCTTATTTCTTATTGGTTCCATGTAAACAGTCATATGCTTTCTATTCGACATTTGTGCTGACATCATCGTTCAGAAAGCAACGATTATTTCAGAATTAGACCACCCAACTCAGAGAACGAAATTCTAACAAAACGCTTGATATTACAAATACTATAATAACGAAGTCATGCCTCCATAATATAACATAATAATGCTGAAAATCATTTCATCCTTTTGAGGACTCATAAATTCTAAGAGTGCGAACTTCTACTTTATTCATATTCATGACTGAAATTATTAGTGTATGATGGAGCGGCTGCCTTGATATTCCATTCACTTACATTAAAAAGAAAACCTACATACGTTTAAAGCATAACATTAGAACATACTTTTATTCATAACTAAACACTTAGTTTTGGTAAACACTCTTACATTGCTATAAAAAAATAATAATCTTATTTAGTATATCCGTGTTTCTATTAATTGTTTGAACAATCTGATTCTTATGGATACCAAGATTACCTATATGAAACAGGATACTTTGATTTTAGAAGCAATTTATTAAAACTTCCTTCCCCAAAACTATTAAAAAATAATAACACTGCTCTAGATTAAGACTATGGCATACTTTTTAATGTAGCTTGTATTACTTTCATCGACAGCTATTATGAACATTTATAGCACCAATATAAATTTCATTTAACCACATTAATTTTACTATTAAAGTCAAATGATGATGAAAATGTTACTGAAATAGACACTAACTGAGTGAAAGAAATCTATTTTATAAGTGGATCATATAAGTAAACTTGAATAAGAAGAGATAAATTGATTATAGCATTACAAGTGAATAACAATGTGTAATAGACTATAACATATAATGAAACCAATAAAATTGATTCCTTTATTTGAACATGTTTATAAAATATGGAAAAAAGAATCATTTTAATCACTTACCCCCATAATTCTGCACCACATCTATCACGTACACATGTAGCAAAACTTAATGTTGATGGTTGTGAATGATCACCTTGACCACGTAAACAACAACTATTCATAACTTTCATAATTTGTTTTTTATTTTTTTGAAAATTTCTCCATAATTCACGTATTGCTTTAGAACATTCTTCATATTGATTACCACATTCTTGAACACATATATCAAACTCAGATTTACTCAATTTTTCACCATGTGAATCAGCATAACAGAAATTTAAATACATACAGTATAATATGCATAATAACAAATTTTGGAATAATCTCTTCATTTTATCACAACTTAATAATGAATAACTATAATAGTTGTATACCAATATTAAATACATCTGTCTATGACTCTTTTATAAGTGTTTTTTCAAGGAACTAATTCTAGATATGTAGTATTTTAATATCTAACGAGTGTTATGCACAACAACAACAAAGGGGTGTATAGATTGAATGAAAAGTTTACATCAATTTTGAATATTATAAGTAGCTATTATTAATAATCGAATATTTCATTATATTACTAACCGGATATAAGATGTAAATCCATAAAGTACTGTGAAATAAACATTCATTCCATGTAACAATCGAAATATGTATATATTGTACTTAATTAGTTTTTCAATAAACTAGTTTGAGGAATAAGTGAAAATCTAAAGAGGTATTATTACTGTGATACATAGCAATTAATGTTTACTAAGATGATTAGTGTAGGAAATGTATACAATTTCAGCGTAAATAATATTAATTCATAATAGTTTAGTATGATTCTGTATAGGATTTTAGGTGAGCATTGATGAAAATTTGCAAACTAGGAAAGAAAATCACTACTCACTTCTCATTGGGTATATATTTACAAGAAATTTTGTTGTAGATTCTAAATATATAAATACTTCTTCTATTTAATGAACTGATAACATCAATGTACAATAAGATAATGTCAAAAGTTTATTCTTTTGAAGTATCCTAAAATCTGAAATAATTCCACTGATTATTATTACTTAGGTAGCTAGTTCATTTTTTATAAAGTATGAATACATTTGTTACTATTATCAACACCAACTGTGATGAACAGTATTATGTTTATTAAAGTATTCACTTTATAAATGTAAATATGCTGGTTAGCAAACAATCGGACTTTCACATTGATTAATGTAGTACTAACATAGTTCGTTTAATCTATATCGGTAACTGAACTTTTTGTTGATCACTTAGACGTAGGGTATTAGGGAATGATGGTAAATCAGTTGATGAAGTTGTGAATCCTCATCGACCGAGATGGTTGGGCCACGTGTTGCGTATGCCTAAACCCCGAGTACCACGACCCGCAATGCTTACTAGTTTTGAAGACGGATAGAAGAAAACTAGAGGAGGCCAAACCAAAACGTGGCATCAGTGCTTGAAGTCACTAACTTCTAATCTAAGCCATGTTGGTAGATGCAGACTACTTGGTTGGGGTCCTCATAACTATCGTAACCAATGGCTGGAGACTCTTGGTGACATGGCTCAGAATCGATCACAATGGCGTAGGTGTATACACACTCTGTCTTCCCTTAAACTATAAGATTAAAATTATTCCATATCTTTCTTTCTACGAACTAATTCTTTCTTTCTGTACTATGTCCTTATATGCAATCTTTCTTTTATATATTACCACTACTAAATTAATTACTTCTATGAATCCATTGTTCATCTTGCTGTGCTAATGAGGTGTGGCACATATGTGCCTGGTCCTACGTTGTAGCTGACTGGCTGAGATTTCCTACTAGCTGGCACTCATTACTACGGCATCACTTTATTGCTGAGGAAACTGATAATCCTAATGGACAACTCAGACTTTATCCCACTGGGAACATCAAATTCCTGAGGATTAGAGACATGTCTTGCCGATCAACATGAAACCGGAATACGAAGCTTCCTACTGGTTGGAATCAATCACCTGGCAACTCTTTTTAGTAATATATGGGAACTAAATGGGAAAACAAATGAATTTTTTAGGTTACTTTGCAATAAATACAGTCACAAATGATACAGTAGACTGAGATGTATGATTGGTTAATTTATAACCTTCAATTATTATGATGATTAATCATTCGTAATCTGATTAGTGACATTTTGATTGATGATTTTGTGTATAATCAGCATTGCTAATTGAGTTGTAATATATCCAATCCTATTTTCTAGTAGTTGAAAAATTACCATTTCGAATATTTAAGTTAAATCGATGGTTTCATCAAATTAATTATTTCATCATGTATATAATATAACCAATATATAGTCAGTATTATGGGCTAGACTTACAGACTATACGTTGGTAACAAGTAGACAGTTATTCTGCAGACATAATACTTCTAAAATTAAGCTTACAGAATTAGCAAAATCTATTTCTACTAAAAAAGAATATTACTAGGCAATAGATGATAAAAAAGTGTATGAGGAGTTAGGAAATAGATATCATGTGAAATTATTAAGTATTGCTTAAACAAATTTATAACAGAACGTGACAAATTCAACCATTAATTTAATTCATCACAACATCTTGTTTAGGGAGTTAAACCAGGTATTTATTTGTGATAACATTAGAGTAGGATAAAAAGTGTGATATATAGGTAGAAATACATAACCTGGGAATTTCCTATCATTTTATGTAAAATAATGTGTAGTCTCAATTGTAACCTTGAAGTATTTGTTCAAAAATAAATTACGTAATGGCTTTCCACTGCAGTGATGGGTAACTTGCTTAGTGTTGTGAAACTACAGAATAAGGTAGGATGTTGCCAGTGAAATAAATATTATGTAGTGAAGAGTCTAAAATAAATAATTTTTAAAGAAAAAAGCGAGTCCCTCGGAATAACAAATGATACTTGTTAATTTCTTGAACTGATAAATGGATTATCTTAATCAAATACAAAACACTTGGTCATACCAACCTAATCTTTCTGAATTGTAATAAGAATCAATTAAATTTAAATGTTAATATCATGTACTTCCAAGTATCTCCTTTTATATTATTTATACAACGCCTTATTAATGATTAACAAGCTTCTTGAAAGGTCCATAAACGCGACAGATTTGCAGCATGGCTCATGTAATATCTTCCTGAAATATGGATATCACTCCCAGTTTTTCGCGTAATACACGCACGATTGTAACAACTGAAGCTTTAAATAATCCAAATTCTATTCAGAATAGGACGTGACTTTTAGGTGAATAGGAAACACGGTTACCGAGATAGGTGTTCATATTAGCCTTGTGTTTATTGATCTTTATGTCCTGCAGGATAGTTTATTGGTTTTCTTCAGCTTCATGTTGTCTGTATCTGCCAATACGTTCATCAGATCCTCTAGTAGTTCACTACCGTCCAACGATCTCCCCTTCTAATGACTAGAATACTTAGCCAGATTAGATTTACATTTGGCAACAGGTACCTGCGGAAACACGAGTAAGAGCTCGTATATGCAATCAGAAAAAACTCCCGGTTGCAAACTGTCACCCCAAACTTACGGGTATCGCTTCCATGGCTTTCACCAAAACTTAACCCAAATAGTTCAGATACCCAGATGTCCTTATAGTGCTGTAGACTACAAGGAATGTATGGTGACTCCCGTGGTCGCTCGTAAGATTTGAACCCTAGTTGACGAAATAACCTTGAGGCCCGTTTTTGAATTGACTCCAAATACTTTATTGTCTTTGATTGAGGTGCAAAAGATCGCCCTACTTCAAACGAGGCGGAGTTGAACAACCAGTGGTGAGAACCACAACCAAAGTGGCTCACGAAATCGCTAATATACAGCTGGCTCGAGCCACTTTAGCCAAAGCATTCGATCGTATAGACTTAGGTACCTAAAACTCTAGTACTGAGACTGTCCGATTTGATTTGGAATGCGGACCCGACAGACACCTCACAATCTCCGGAGTTAATTTGCTGTGATCTGCCAAACTTTGAAGTTGGATCACATTCTCATAAAGTCGTAACATGTCCTTCGAACTTTAGGATTCCTTCCTACGCTTTACACCATTAACAGAAAGCAACAGTTCTTAAGATATTAATTGGTTGAGGAAGGTAGTTTGTATGGAAAAAGGGGGATGACGAAACGTGACAATCGGTTATAAATTCGTCTGCTCGGTTCATACCTATAGCTTTAAAAAATTTTCAACCAACTCGTTTAGCTTGTTAGAAAGATAATACATCAAAGGAAATACATGAACTTTATTTTTGGAATAAGTAATCTGCAGGTAAATTATTTAAAAACGATAAACAAAAATTTCTGACAAAATCTGTAAAAATGAAATGCAATTCTTTGGAATTGGTTTTTAATCTATAGGCACATATCAATTAACTAAACACCATTTTCTTTAGGCAGGGATTCACCATTCGCATTTATAAGCTTCACTTTCTTGGAAGTCGAGTTTTCATGACCATTTAATTCTACAGATTCCACAGGTGTCGTTTCAGTAACAGGACGTTTTTTCTTTATCAAGTGTGATATGTCACCAGTTGGGACACTAGTACCATTAGAGCATGGTTCCATTGGAGACTCGGTTTGTTTAATGCTTTCAGCTAATCGGTCTTCCTCAATATCTGCACACCGATTCTGAACATCTGGTATTAAAAGTTCTATCTCTTTAAGTGTAACTTGGAGAAGCTCTTTCTCCTCTCCATCTTTCTGGTCAACAGCTTCGATTTTTGACCTGATATCTTCAGCCAACAACTTGAGACACTCAACTGAGGCTTTGAAAGAGCTGCTTGCGTTTGCTAAATCTCCAGAAACGGCATACGTCGTTCCCAGTTGGTAATGGCTTTCAGCTACACGACGATCCTTTTGACCCAAAATGGAAGTACGGATTTCTAAACATTCCTATGGAAAAATAGAGGAATCAGAGTAATGTAATTTGGATAAAAATCACAGTTCAAAACCGTCATGTTACATTCAGATTACTTCATTTCTACTTGCTGCATTGTTGGCCAACTATATTTCTGCTTTATATTCAAAACTAACAGTCCTAGACTCGAGAGAGCAATCTTATTAAAACTTTTTAGGGGAGGAAATGGCCCGAAACACTTAGAAACTTCAAATTTGTTGTGGATCAGTACCTTTTTAGACACTTTCGAGGTCTTTAACTGGAAATAATGATCCCATGAACACAATCTAGTTTACAGCTTGGATGTTTAGATAAAAAGTTATTGACCTTCATATGTCAAAGTCATGTCAGTTGCCACACCTCAATAGCTTAAAATACCAATCTTCAGGTTTGTTATTTGCTGTTTTTTACAAGAATCCACTACTAAACATAAATGCCACGATGGAACCTTAATGAACAAGTGGTCAAGTTGATAGAGCTAGACAATCTTCACACTAAAAAATTATCACTTCGCCGCTGTAGTAGACACATTTTGGAATAAGCACCTTTGAAATGAGTATATTTAACTAGTCGACATCAATGGGTTGAAATTATACATACTGATGTGTTAACACAGTACCAAATCTGAAAGACAACCAGATACATAACAAACCGATAACTGAAACCAGATGAACGATTGATAGTATAGAATAAGAACATTTGTAAATCCAACCTTCTATTGGTTTATAAGATGGTAAACTAGGCTGCGAACACACCAGAATAACGCAAGGTACAAGTAAAGTGATGCCTAGGAAGCCAAAATACACATGGACATGTTTGAGATATCCTCATAATTTATAGTAGTTATATCGCATTGCTATGGCAAACAAGTGTTATCTTAACGACAAGCACTTGGAATCCTACGCACTGTAAATGAATTACTGACATGAATGAAGCTATATGTAGGTTGATTGGCGCTTGTCTTACAACCATTATTAGTTTCCTAAAAACTTGGTATTTAAGATACAAACGATAGTCCCTGACCAAACCCAATTATACTGTATACCGCCAAATACTCCGCTTCTTTACAAATCGATGGACGTAAAATAATCAGTCCATGGCCCAAGAGTACAAATAACGTAAGTAATCACTAGAAATGGACAACGAAGATCAAATGAGGGCTATTATTACTTAACGAAACTCAATTAAACGAATCCCAAACCAAAAATCCTTGACTCGACGAACCAATTATCTATGGACATATCCTGATAACGGAACCTATGCAGTATGTTTTGTCGTTCAAGTTAAAGGATAAATAAGAATGGACAAAAGAAATACCTTTAAGTCTAATACTGCTTGGTCATAATCTTCTTTCTCGCGACTAATCTCACCAAGCTTTTCTAGGCACTCGGCAACATTCAATTTACTCTCTTCGTCATCTTTTTGTGAAAAAAGTTTTTTGGCTACTTCAATAACCTCCCAAGCGATTTGAAGATTCGACACTTCATCTTCATCATCAGATTTAGCAGCTTCCGATTCTGTGGGATTATTCTGGACCTCATCTTGATTCTCAGACTCTTCCTCTTCAGATCCGTTTGATTCGTCATCCTCAGCTCCTTCAGAAGCGTCATCCGTCGGATTATCAGTGGCATCATCATTTCCGCTTACAGCTTCAGTGTCTTCGCTAGGTGTGTCGGCTTCTTTGGTCTCACTTTCTTCCTGCTTTTTGTCTTCACACATAGCATCTATGACTTGATTGGAAATATCTTCTTTTTCTTCAGCTACAAAAGTGAGACATCAAATGCCAATTTACTTGTCAATTCAGGCCCAGGTTCAATGATCCCATCATCCGATTCTGAATCATTTTTGTCTGAATCCGGTACTAATCACGTTAAGTCAAGTCATTCGGTACTTACTCCCATCCAATGCATTCCCGATAACTGAACTTTCTATTCGTGATAGTTCGAGAAGAGCAGTACCATACAGTAAGTTAGGGATAGCAAGAGCTTCATGAAAATCACCATGTATCATCGACCTGTTAATTAAACAACATCATCAAGACTCACAGAGCTTCACAAGCTTTTTGAAAATTATCTACTGCTTTGTTAATATCACCGCACACTAAATCTCTCCTTCCTTGAGTGATTAAATCCTCCGGTATATGCTCCATGTAAACACTTTGAAGACAAATAGAGCGCTGTGTCTTGAAATCCAAATTGGGGACAAGTTTGTACTGCATTCTCAATGTCCACGAGATATACTATTTGTCGTGACGGACTTATATAAGCTTACATTTTTTTTGTATCTGAGTAAATGTGTTAATAAACAAAGAATACGGTAAATATGGTGATACGGTATATATAAAGCGATATTTAAAAGAACACTGATGTCTCTTCTTTCAGCTAAACTTATATTATTATTATTATTCACAAACATCTTATAGGTACATAAGTGTTGTGAAGAAACCATTTCGAGTTTCTTCAAAAAATGCAATAATACACAATTTTCAATAATGTCGGCATTATACTTGCCATTTAAAAAAAAATTAGAGCAATAATAGTAGAATATTAATAATAATAATTCGGGTCTGTGCAATTGAGAATATTGAATTGAGTTTAAAGAAGGAAATGGAGAAAATAAGGGAATAGAAATAAAGGAGACGTGAAATACGCAAACAGTCTAATAGGGGTGTTTATGAACACAGAGCAAGAATAAACGACTATGTGTGTATCGTTAAATTAGTAACAAAAGTAATTAGGAAAAAATAACTTATAATTGCAGTAAGATATGACGCTAGAATAAATGTTTGTGCAGTTATAGTTTGGAGTGATGTGATGAAAGTCTCAATTGAGTGAAAAGTATAATAAAATATCAATATGTATGAGACATATATGCATAGTGAATATAAAACAGGTCTGAGAAGTTAATGTAAGTATAACACAAGTTATTGTCTTAATTACAAACTTCGTAATCTTAAGAATAATATTTATTTAGAGGGAAAGAAGAGAGAAAAGAAGTTAACACCTAGTGAAAAGTTTTGACCCATGATAAGAACAGGTTTCATCGTTTATTAAGCTTCAAAACTACTATCCTCATCCTAATTGAATTATTTTGCACTAAATGAGCATCCTTTTTTCGAAAGCAATTTCGTGTATTTGCTTTCACTAAGTATATTGGGTTTTCTTTATTCGTTGCGCTTTTAAACTTCCGGACAATGTGGGAGACCAAGAGAACTAGTTAAATAACAACGGAACTGAGGAGATATAACTATGTGGTTCGCAAAATCGGCGAAACCCATTGGACCCATGCTGGACACCACATATTAGATACTGGCAAGGTGATACTGTACACCGATAATGAAGAGGAAAATGCTCCGTACACAAAGGGAGTTGCACTGGTGCAGTCTAAAGATGCATGAAATACACTTGTTGGGTGAGAATCTCACGAATTCAGGATCATCAAAACATCCTCCAAGACAAAGGAGGAGGGGATCACAATGAATGTAAGATCCATTTTGAAGGTTTTATGTGTTGGTGAAAATCCCTCCATGTATATACTTGTACTTTGTTCCTATTGATTCCCTTAGTTGTACATTGTTGTATTTTGATTACATTTGAGTTGTTAATACTTGTATTTTTTATTATAGTTTTTGTTTTTCTTACGCATTCACTAAGTTTGTGTTTCTTCCTGGACTGCATCTGTGTTGTTTTACTTGACACTTGTTCTTGGCGGTAGCCATATTGATTTGTTCCTCCTGTTGTGTGTGATCTATCCAGCCAGGATAGAATAACGTTGATTTGTTGTGATTGGTAAATTTCTTGCATCCTTTATCAACTTTCTTATTTATTGTAATTTAGATTTGATCAATTGAACAATTATTGGTTGGATAGCTGAGTGGTTATATTTGTTTAGGTAATAATGTACACTTAAATTTATGATAAATTATAGAACCGCTGTCTTACCCAATTACTTGGTTTTGGTTTCAATCGGGCGAGGGCGCGTATCTAACTCATCCAGACAGCTGTCCAGCAGTCCAAACGTAGTTTGGATCTTACAATGAATGCTACTCAATTTTACGCACTCACCAATGGCAGCAATGACGACGATGAATATCGGTTCTACTAGAAGACTTACTTACTTACTTACTTACTTACCCCTGTTACTCCAAATGGAGCATAGGTCGCCGACCAGCATTCTCCAACCCACTCTGTCCTGGGCCTTCTTTTCTAGTTCCATCCAATTCTTGTTCATTTTTCTCATGTCTATCTCCATTTCTCGGCGTAATGTGTTATCTGGTCTTCCTCTTTTCTTTTGGCCTTGAGGATTTCATGTGAGGGCTTGTCTTGTGACGCAGTTCGGTGCTTTCCTCAATGTGTGTCCTATCCACTTCCAGCGATTCTTCCTGATTTCTTCCTCCACTGGAATCTGGTTTGTTCTCTCTCACAGTAGGTTGTTGCTGATAGTGTCTGGCCAGTGGATCCGAAGTATTTTGCGTAGACAACTGTTAATAAACACTTGTATCTTTTGGTTGACTACTTTTGTAGTCCTTCACGTTTCCGTTCCATACAACAGAACTGTCTTATCATTTGTATTGAAAGTCCTGACTTTAGCGTTGGTTGACATTTGTTTTGAGTTTCAGATATGTAAGGACTTTACATTTTCCGAAGCTTTTCCGTCAAGTGTGATTGGATTATGCATCTTGTGTTTTATCGGAGAATCATGCTTTTCCATTTGTGTTTATTGAGACCTACTGCTGTTGAGGCTGCTGCTACACTGATCATCTTCTCCTGTCTTTGTTGTTGCATATGCGATCGAACAGCCGGATCATCTGCGAAGTCTAAGTAGTCCAGCTGCATTCTAAATACCCACTGTATCCCATGGTTCTTCTCAGATGTTGACGTCTTCATAACCCAGTCGATCACCAGGAGAAAAAGAAAGGGTGAGAGTAAGCAACCTTGTCTGACACTGGTCTTTACCTGGAACGAGTCGATCAGCTGTCCTCAATGCACTATTTTAAAGTTTGATCCACCATAGGAATTCCGTATAATATCGACTATCTTTTCAGGTACGCGTAGTGTCGAAGAAGCTTCCATCGTGTTGTCCTGCCTTCTCGTAGTCAATGAAGTTACTGTAAAGTGATGAATTCCACTCACTTGATTGCTCCAAAGTGATCTGCAGTGTTTCGATTTAGTCTGTACACGATCGACCCTTACGGAATCCAGCCTGTTGATTTTGAAATTGAGTGTCTACGGTAACTTTCATTCTGTTTAACAATATCCTGTTGAAGTCTTTTCCTGGTATTGAGAGAAGAGTGATGCCCCTGTAGTTATCACACTTGCTGAGATCGCCTTTCTTTGGTTTCTTGATCAGGTGTCCTTCTTTTCAGTCTGCTGGTACTTGTTCTTCATCCCAAGTCTTATTGAAGAGAATGTGAAGTATCCTTGCAGTTACCGCTGCGTCTGCTTTCAGTGCCTCTGCTAGAATGTTGTCTGGTCCTGCTGCTTTTTCATTCTTGATTTGTCTGATGGGCATTCTGATCTTCCCAATTGTTGGTGAGCCAACATTGATCGGGATGTCTGTGTTTGCTGCTTCGATGTTGGCTGGTTTCAGTGTGGCTGGTCGATGTAAGAGTTTTTTGAAGTATTCTACCCACCTGTTTCGTTGTTCTTCAATGTTGGTGATTACTTTACCTTTCTTGTTTTTCACTGGTTGTTCTGGTTTACCATAATTACAAACCAAATCGTGTAACTTCATATCAGCGTTGAACAATCAGTTAAATGGAATTTATCAGCACATATCAAATCCCTTGAGTATGACAAAGTGTTTGACAGTGTGGATAGAAGGACCTTATGGAAAATTCTTCGACACTATGGTGCACCTGATAAGATCGTCAACATCATACAGAATTCGTACAATTGACAACAGTGAATAATGGTGCTTAGAGGACAGGTAACAGACGCATTCCCACTTCCTCTTTTTTCTAGTGATTGACTAGATTATGAAGATCCCTATATCTGAGGGAGAGGTGGAATACAATGGACAGCCTGCATGTGACTAGAGGATTTGAACTTCGTAGATGATCTGGACCCTCTGTCCCATAAACACGATCAAATGCAGGTGAAGACAATTGGTGTAGCGGCAGTCTCTGCACCAGTTAGTCTCAACGTACACTAGGGAAAGAAAAAAAATTTTCAAATACAACACAGAGCACTAACCAAACCACAGATGATGGAGAAGCTCTGGAACAGGTGGAACCTTTCACGTACATGGGTAGCAGCATCATCGACGAAAGAGTAGGATCTGATGCAGACGTGATGGCAAGGATTGGCAAAGCATGGTCGGCATTCCTACAATTGACGAACATATGGAACTCAAAAAATCTATCAAACAATATTAAAACCACAATCTTCAATACTAACGTTAAGACTGTTATTTGAGAATAAATCATTATTATTATTATTAGTTATGCTATACGGAGCTGAAACGTAGAGAACAACAATGACCATCATCAAAAGAGTTCATGTATTTATAAACAGATGTCCACACAAAAAATTCACTGTGCGTTGACCGTAAGCCATCAGTAACAACCTACTGAGGGAGAGCACAAGCCATGTTCCAAGTGAGAAAATTAAGAAAATATGTTGGAAGTAAACAGGACGTACACTGAGGAAATCATCAAACTGTATCATGAGGAGTGTGTTTATTTGGAATTCTGAAAAGAGGAAGGCCGAAGAACCCTCTGAGTCAGGAATCGGAAGCAGACATGAAAAGTATCAGTAAGGAACTGAAAAGGACGGAGAATGCTGGTGAACATCCAGTGATTCTTTACGAAGAGTAACAGACGCATACACGGTAGAATGGAAAAATCTGAGTCGTCAGAAAATTCTTTAGAACAATAATTGCCAGTCGCGGTTACGGCCTGACCTCAAGTTCAACATGAAGCGACTAGGTATGACCTGGACACTGAATAATTGTCAATATGTTTAATATTGAACCGTTATAAGTTTGGCGATACGAATCTTGGTTATATCTTGCCCCATGTTCCAAATGCTTCCCCACAAAAGTCAAGAACAATAGCTTAAATATTTTTTCGTCCAAGTACTGAAATGACTTGGTGATAGCCCATAAGACTCCAAAGCTCTTGGTTGCGGCAGTCTTACAGTTACTCATAGTTCTAAGGTCACTGATTATTATGACTCCTAGATCTTTGTAGTTCATCGCCTCAATTAACACAATTTCACATAATATGTGTAACGGAAAGATAACGATGAAAATTCCTCCGCAGCTTTTTTGTTGGACAGTACTGTCATTTATTTGTTTCTTCTCCCTGTCGTGTATTTTAACCTTTGTTTAGATCTCGTTTAGCCACGCCTTTTGTTCTTTAGTCTTCCTTGTTTGAGCCTTTATTATATGGTTTTGATTAAAAGCTTATCTTTTGTTACCTAATTTTCTGTCGGATGTTTCCGGACTATTGACATTAAGGTGGTGTTTGACCAAGCTCAAGGTCACGGCGTGGTTCAATGTGTGACTGTTAACCTTTTGATTGTCTGCTTGCGAGGACTGCTAGAATCCCTAGAGATGGATGTTTGATCTCACCTTGTTGAGCATATTTTTATAGATTCTCAGGTATCGAACCCTTTGATATTAATTGTTTCTTTTATTGTTTAGCGCGCTACTTTGTTTTAGAAAAACCTTTGACTGTGTAGCGGTAAATAAATCCCCAAAATAAATAGCTCTGTAAGTTTTCGACATTGGATGCTGATCACATTAGTTTTTATGGACTCACCTAGCTGAAAGCGCTCGGTCATGCATCTGCACCAAATCACGAGTGGGAACGCCATGCTTAATAACCCATGCAAGTGCTAGCCTGATTAGATCAGACGATCCTCGATATACTGATAGCCTATCGAATATATCTTCGAACCTCCTCGCTTCTGTCTTTTGATTTTATTTGGTGTGTACGATTTATATTAGAAGGTGTCACTGGTTAAAGTGTTGTCAAACCCCGGATATCTGTGGCATCTTCAACGGTATAGCACAGGCTGTACCGTTTGTGGTATTTTGTATTTTTGATATAATATGTTCTATTTCGTAAATTAGAACCTTTCAAATTGAGCAATGAGGTTGTTTTTTGATATATTTAATACGAGTATCTCAAAAACGCTTGGGCTGCTATACAGAAGAACGTAGTCTGTCCTATTCGAATAAATTTTGGTTCGTCAGTCCTGCGTTCAAAGCGAATACTGGCAGTTCGGTCGATACATTATGTAATGATATAAACCGTCTCATTTATTTATTTGAAACACGAAGCCTTGACAGTCTACGAAATCTGTTTTTCGGAACGTTATTTCAGTTTATTCAAAGCTTGTAAAACGGAACATAAGCTTTCGTTTGATGCATGATTCACTGTCATACGTGGGATGAGTGACTTTGATTCGTCCACCAATACTCCTAGTTCATAGAACTTATTATTCAGACTACAAGCATTCGCATTTAAAACTCGTGAGGAGGACCTCCAATCCATACAGGTCCTGGTAGCCTTTACTTCATAGAATGACTGCCGGAATACTCGTTTTCCATCATTTTGTCGACGGGTTTCTAGTTCAGCTAGTGCCGTCTTTCTTTTAATTATATCTTCTAGATTCATGTCAGTTCTTACACGAAAGCTGATACTATCGTGCCTTCAAGCGTCATTAAGATAATGATTTTGTTGTTTCGCTGACCACGTGATTACTTCAAGGACTCTACATGGTTGGAATTCGACATTTTTATCAGTCCTCCAACCCATTCTTATCAATTTTCCTACCTGAACCACTATCCAGTCATCCGTCTTGATGCTACAATTAAACGTTCCGACATTTTCCAGATCATGCGTGTGTCTAATTTTTAGATCATAATCGTTTAATTCTAATAGGCTACGTAGCATAATAGTCAGTGAGATCGGGCTCGTTCCAGCCCCGTTAGGCCCACGTCCTGTCTTACCTTCCGACCTTAGAGGTCTGTTCTGTGCGCAGAATGGCAATCTACCCAATGCTTATAAATCGTGTTGTAGATCACCAACGTAGATGATCTATGTCGAAATGATTGGAGGCCTACTCGAGTTATACGGGAATGGTGTGACGAACTAACTAACATCTAAGTCACACCTCGTGGTAAGCATCTTACGTGGACTACCCTATTGACGTACCAAGGTACTATAGATGCCTTGAAGACTGTACAACACAGAGGACATTATTACAGAAATATATTAGTTAAAGTAGACACAAGCGAAAATAAGATCACTGACGCATAGACTAGTCAGTGGCGTACAACTAACTGATGCGCGTTGGTTGTCCTTGACCTTGATGAGGATCGATGATTTATTCGATACACAATGACCCAACTGCACGATGATTTGTCTAGGACTCTGAAATGTCACTGGCCCTACAGTGTGCTGCCCGTGACCTTTTATATTTCGCGTCCTTGTCTCCGCACGGTCGTCCACTTCCCTAATACTTCAAAATCTCGATTGCCATTGTCCATTAATGCTCTATCCTTTGTTTGTTTAAAAGAGATCTTCCTCTCCTGTGATTCTCAGTCGGATGTTCGGCTTGTCCCATTACAGCACGTACTGCAGTGACACATTCTTCGCCGTCAGTACTCGTGCTACCAGTGTAGCCACCATTAATTTTCTTGTAGGTCTATGCCAGAAGGCTCATAGTCTCATGGATAGGCAACACCTTACTGGATTAGCAAAACACACGAAGCCAATGGGATTTAGCCTTCCAGCATATTTTGTGTGATATGGGACTTGAACGTGTACACACCTTGTGGAACCGTTTTTCAAACTCATCACATCACATTCCTTCGTCTATGGAAAAAAAACGGACAACAGTTTTAAGTTAAGTCGACCATGGTAAACAGATTAAAATGTTAAAAAACTCGAGAAAAATATACAATATATACTCTAGTGTAAGAACCACATAAAAAGAGTACCACAAAACATATTTAAGGGAAATTTCAAACCTGAACCAACAAAATGTCGAAGTAGACCAAATATGCTTTTGATGCAATAAATACATAAAGGCGAAATAACCAATGCCCTCTCTGAAACACGGGCTTGAAACAAATGGAGCAGTACCTGCTCTTTCGATCGAATCTTTTGAAGGAAAACCTAAGAAAAACGGGAGTGCAGAAAAGAAATGGCACAAACCCTAAGATTTTTGTCTTTAGAGCAAAAAGCCAAACCTTTCATTTGAAGCGGTTGTTTCGGATGGTTACGGTACAGGAATGAATTGTCATGTGAGTATTTCCTTGAGTTAGTTCTTGGTATTTGATTTTTTCAGGTTATTTAAAGTGCTACTGTGTATCTCGAGTAACCTGAAAAGTATCTTCAGGATTTTACGCGGTCAATTTTTCTTAAATATATAAATTAGCTATCAAACCTTTTGATGCATATATATTTGCACTTTGCGATTGTGTAAATAACTGATTAAGAGCTAAGTTTTTTAAAATATGTCGAAAACGGTAGCTTTTCATGCTCAGGGACTTTCCTTTTGGTTACATCGCCCGTCAGGAATCTTCAGACTACAAGATTCCGGATTTCGAAATTCTGACAATAGAGGGGTTTATATTGACTTAGTCCAGTCTTTTACTAAAGTAAATATCTATGTAATTGTTCCCAAAATTTGCATACCTAATGTAGTAATCGGTCATGTATAAATGTTTCCGAATCTTTCCATCTGTGCAATTTTGGTGTGAACTAACCTGGCTTACGGTGTTACAGAGTAAAAAGCTAATTTACCACTCACAAATGCATAAAATTGGCTTTTGACTGCATATGTAAGAGCTAGTAACACTACACAAATACCCGAACTGAAGGGGAGCGTGGTTCCATACTTAAGCATACTGGTTAGAAGCTCTGGTGAGACTGAGGCTGTGTTCATCAACCACCAAGTATTTGCTCCAACGTCATAAGATTCTATATTTCTACTGCTTGTTTTAAAGCGCAAACGTATGTCAATCTGTATGATATTACTGGGTTCTATGTCTTATGTTTTTTTTTACCACGAAAAACATCGTTGTTTATTGGTTGAAGCAATGTGTTGACGCACCAGGTTTGAAAACTAAACTTGCAGGTTTCTTGTATTAGATTGTTAGTTCTTTTTACAGTCATTAACTAAGAATTCAGTTTTATTTAAAATAACAGAAGTAAGCTTGATGAAATTCTCCAAGATTCTTCGTAATAATCTATATTCACTTCTGTCGTTTTTCAGCATAATTACTTTTGGTGCTGCTTATGGAAGTAAGAGATCTAACTAAACTAGATAGAGTTTGATTGTAGTTTTCTGAATAATATGATAATATATGCCTTACACTTCATTCTTCATCATGTATTAATATTTTGTTGCAACCTTGTGGAATATGTAAACTTTCCTACATACTAACTAGGTTTTCTACTAATTAATTGTCATTCAATGAGTTCTGTCATGATGTTTAGATTATGTCCTATCCAAGGTAAACCTGCACTTTATGCTTATTTTCATGCTTAAATATATGTTGGGCTTGTTGTAGTTTTTTTGTTTCGTTGTCTTCGAAATTAGCTATCATTTTGTTCATTCATTTCTTGTCCCAACAGGATATAATGTTAAGCGCATTTCCATTGCAAGCTTCATTATGACATTCGGTTTATTTATATAAAGTTAAATTCAAGCATATGTGTATCATTGAGCGAAACGACGCCTATCGCTGTTTTAGATACAATAGTTCAAGACGAAAATGAGGGGTATACAAACTAGAATATATGCAGTCTGAGTGGTTTGTATTATGAAAATTTCACCTTAGGATAATGTAAAATTGTCGTTTTATTGTGATTTATAGCTGACAGAGTTGCATAATTGCGTGTGAAATTATTTATCTTAACGTTTGTTTACAGGATTAGCCTGTCTGCTTTGGATAATTAACTTATCGGATATTAGTGGCTGTAAGACGGCTTTAATCGGCATGAACGTTATTACTGATATGCTAATAAGTTTGTGAAACTATATAAGTTGCTGAAATCCTGCTTTGAAACCAATGTTTAAGGGTTTATACATTTGGGTTGCAAATTCACTTTTGACTCTGTACTTTAATACAAATAATTTCAGAAGGGGTTTTGAGGAGGTTGTAGTAATTTCAACAGTTGAGGTCGTGAGTCAATTTGATCTAGACCACCATGGAAAACCTGGAACCACTAGATGGCCGTTTCGTGTGATTGTGGGACTCCTTAACAGTGGACATCCATTATTCCGCCTCGCGAGATTCGAACCCAGGACCTATCAGTCTCGCGCTAGGCACTTAACCAACTAGACCACTGGGCCGGCATCCAACGGTGTTCATGTCTAACTTCAACTAATCCACGAAATTGAGCGACACATCCATCATTGTCATCAGTGAGTTACTACCTCACAACTGACCCGGTTGAACTCCACTGGTCACTGCTTCTCACTAGAACTCCAGGATATATCTCTTGAAGCCAGTCACTAGTGAGCATATGTTGATTAGTATCAGAAGGGGTTTTGTGGAGATTGTAGTAATTTCAACATTTGATATCATGAGTCAATAATTTCGTCAATAACACTAATTGTGGTTCTCCAGTTAGTCGATTTTACAATACACCATTCTGCATCATCTAAAAGAAGAGTTGTATATTGTCAGCAGTATTTTAAGAACATCCCTTACTCTTCTATTATGTAATTTAGTTGTCGTTTTCGTCATCGTTGGATTGATATCGATATTCCAATGTCCTGTGAATTTCATTAGCGATATCATTAAGGTGTCAGATGGGTTTTAAAACAGAAATAATTCTAAATATTCTCATAGTTGTGTGGACTTTTGTTGTCATAGAGTTGGAATTTCAGTGTTGGGCACAAATAGCTTTACTGAACCCAAATCTCTAGATATTAAAAGGAAGGCTAAATTTATTACTTTTAAACTAGAAGTAAGGATATATATGTCGACACACTACTTTCGGTTTCTATAATCTGTGAAAGCAGTGTGTTTCATTAATTTGATTGGTTTGTCGATCTCTCTGAAGTAATCCATAAAAGTTGATACAAAATATAGGTTTATGTATGTCTACTCTATATATGAGGTAAGGATGGCGAATCAATTGATGAAGTACTGAAACTTCATCAGTTGAGATGGCTGGGACACGTGTTACGTATGCCCAACCACCGACTGCCTCGGCGTGCGATGTTCAATGGTATAGGAGTAGGTTGGAAGAAAGCTAGGGGCGGCCAGACCAAAACATGGCACGAGTCGATGAAGTCACTGACAAGTAGACTGAGTCATATTGATACGTGTAGACTACCTGGTTGGGGACCGCGAGATGATAGCAACCGATGGTTAGAGACCCTGAATGACATGGCTCAAAATCGTTTGCAATGGCGCAGGTGCATCCACTCTTTGTGTTCTCCCAAATTCTAATCTTTTGAATTCTTCATGTCTTATTTTCCTTCCAAATTTGTTTCACTGGATTATACTCCTTGAATAACATCTTCAAACCCTAATATTTCCGATTACTGCTTATACTCTTACTACCTCTAGCACTACGAGATTTGGATCGACCACTGCGTCTCTGTGCAAATGTGGTGTGGCAACTCGAACTGATGTACGTACGTACGAAGTTTTACGTTGTTACTGACTGACTGACTGATCCCTAAAGTGTTCTGCCCATCGATCCAATCTCCTGGACTGAAAATGTATAATATGTCCATCTTTCTCTGAGTGTTTCGCTAACAGTCGGTTTCCTAATACCGGTTTCCTTAACAAGTCTGAACAATTGTCTGCTATTATCTATTGCCGCTGCCTTTTCCACCTCTCTTGCTTTCGCTACCCACCACTGTTCACGATCATTGCGTAGACTTTTTGTCAGCTTGTGCTTAAGCTGACTCCGCTCTTTATTATGTTCAGAGCCAGGTGGAATGAGTTTCCGAGCATCTATCAGTGCTATAGATGCTGCTGAGATCCAGTGTTTCTCCCCAACATTGTGGTTTACCTTACTAGCAGATATCACTGCTGTTTCCACAGCTTTTCGGATATCATTCCATGCTGCCTCGGGGTGGGCATCACATACATGGCTGTCTAATTGTTTTTCTAGTTGTTCCTGAAATATACTCTTAGCTCGACTATCATTGAGTAGGCTCCTAAGAGGTTTCCTTGCAGCGTCTTTCCTACGTCCAGTAAGACGCAGGCAAATACGCGCTCGTACTAGAGCATGATCTGAATCTAAGCATGTGCTCCAAAATGAGCGACAGTCTTCTATCGAGCCCCTCCATCGGTGGCTGATAGCGATGTGATCTATTTGGGTCCAACGTTGGGACGAATTAGGGGGTCGCCATGTTAAAAGATGTTTTTCCTTATGCTTAAAGTTAGTATTTGCAAGGAACAGGCGGTTATCTGAGCATAGCTGCAACAGGTGGTCGCCATTATCTGTTCTTTGAGCCACGACACCATAAGATCCACCTAGGTGTCTTTCCCTATCGCTTAGTTTACCTACTTCAGCAATAAAGTCACCGGCCATTATTACTACATCCGAGCGCCTAGCTTTTCGAAGGTCCGAAAGCTTTCTGTAAAACTCATCTTTTACATCTTCTGAGCTGCAGACAGTGGGAGAATAGGCAGAGACGACGAAGAGGCAACGACGAGTGTCCCTATCTTTCCGGATTCTTACTGTTCCGTTCAGTCGGACAGCGCACAAACGACTGTCTACTGGGATCCACTCTAAGAGAGCTAGTTCTGCCCTAGGACTCAATACTATACCTACGCCGACGGGGCCACGGGAAGCAGAATCAGGGCTTCCAGATACACGAAGCGTAAATCGAGTCGGTTCTTTATTTTGGCATGGTGAGGTCAAATGAATGACGCTACTTGGATCCTGTATGCGCGTTTCGGAGACGCAGCACACATCGATGGCGCGAGATTCTAAAGTTTTAGCTAAGGAAGCCTGCTGTCCTATTTGGCAAAGTGTTTGTACGTTAAAAGCTCCTACGTGTAGTTTAGAGCGTGGTATCAGGAGACCAGGAATAGCGTTCCACGTACTCGAATCGTTTGCCCAGCGGTGCGAGGTGATAAAGAGACGTGAGGAGGGTTAGTCATGGAGATAAGAGAGGTATTAGGAGGTGTAGGAAGGATTTGAATGTGACCAACTTGGTTTCGTGCGCTGTTACGGGTATGAGGGCTGATATCATTTCCCGGCTGCCCACACCGTGGAAAGGTATTTCTTGAGGAACCTGAAAAGGAAATTGGATTAGTGTTGGTCTTGACGATCTGGGAGCGTGACCGCAGAGCCCAAGGGATAACTGCTTGAGGCCTGTCGCGCACGGATTTTTCGTGGGAGGTTTTTAATGTGTTAGCTACGTTCTTCGAAGAGCCTTACCGCCAAGTATCAGAGTTGTTAGCGAAGAACTGTGTGAATTTTCGTACAATGGAACTAACTGTAAAGGAATATGCTGCCTGGCTGAACGGTTAAACCTTGATTTTCTTGGTCTAGATATATTAGAAAAAAGTTGGAATAATAGATATACCCAATAACAGTGTCTGCAATATGTCGTGTTCATCATTGGACACTGATAAGTATCGATAGAGAAGCAGTTCAATCAACATTATGGGGTACGAAGACGATTGTTCACGGGTGGGTCAAAGAGTACTTACTATGCACTATCGTGGAAAACATCTTACATGGACAAGTGGTCGGATAGTGCAAGAGAAAGAGAATGTAGTTTATGAGGTGTCAGTTGGCTCAGAAGTTTGGGTACGTCATGCTAATCAATTGGAAGCAAATTCGATAACCAGCAACGAGACTCGATATCTAATACCTCTTGACGTTCTGCTAGATACCTTTGGAACAAAAACACCTGGAACAGACATGTCAGTTTCTGTGCAAGCAAAGAGTGATACGACTTCTTTACTGCCTAGATGATGGACAAATCGAAAGCACAGGCCAGTCACTCGGTTGCAGTTGGACCCAATCACCAGATCCTACGAGTCTGCTCAAAGGGGAGGTGTTAGCGGGACATAGATTGGATTAAAGCATGTCCCATGCACGATTGCGTTGGTGCACGTTGATTGGTTGTTTCTTATCCAATTAGCGCTAGTCGATACTTGGAAAGGACTAGATTCATTTCTTCATTGCTGTGTAATCCAAATGACCTCTGTTCATTATTTCACTGCTTGCCGTTAATTGAATATAAATTTCATACTGAGGATGACAAACAAACTTCCTGTTTATCATCATCCAGTTATCGGTCTTGTGATTTGTAATATGAAAAAGATTTTTGTCGATTGTCTTCGATATTTTTGTTCCTAGATTGATAATATTAGTTTGGGTTTTTGTTAGCCTTTTTAACTTTATTTTGAAATATAGTAATATACCTCCTGCTGCACTTCAACATTGAATTTATTAAAATCGATTTATTTGCATTTCTGATCATGAGCAGTTTTCGGAAACTGTTTAAGGGATAATATACAATCCTTATTTTTAAGAAAATGGTACACATGAAACCAACGTTTCCACAGACGCTTATGTTTTAGTTCAGATTTGTCCAAAATGCATTGTTTTCTGTGGATCTTATTGTCTGATCTTGTACTAGAATTTGTCTAGTCGTCTAAGAAATTTGTGAAATCATCTCTCAAGTATTATATAGTTCGTTGGATCGAGTTTCATTTTTCTTTATCATCGCGATATGTTTATAAGCAGGATTTCTTACAAACGTAAATGTAATTTATTCTAGCTTCTTCATAGTTTTGAAATATGCTTCTTTCTGTAATGTTCTTCTGTCAGGCCTACTTTTTTTGTTGCGTAGAAACTATCCATTAATTCATCAAAACTCGTGTTTTATGTCTTTGACATTTGCTTCACATGCTGATTTTATTCTCTTTGCTCGAAGCTATATTTCTAAATTTCGTTATTATATCTAATTTCAGATTTTATTTGTTTTCAAAGTTGGCCATTCTGTACAACGAAAACCTAAACCTGTTAATGGTCGGACACATCATTGGAGGTGTTATGTAGACAGTTGGAATCCACGTTATCCTTTGTCAGCATTTGTGAAGAAAGTCACTTTTAAACTACATAGTACATTTGAAAATCCAAGACAAGGTGTCCGCTTGAGGTTGTTTTATGTATATGTATGTATATGTCATTTAGTTCTAGTCACTCCACGTAGATAGGTAGGAAATTTACTCTGTATTTACGTTTTGAAATCCTTATTACTCCTTAGCGATTAATGTTTCTTGGATTGTGGGGGCAAAGTTAGATCCAATCGTTCCACATCTCATTGTTTTCACATTCTCACGACAAATTTCCACTGTTTGCAAGTATATTTAGTAACCAAAGAATTCTGAGTAGTGAAATATTGTTTGATTTGTTGGGAGAACTAAACTTTCAGTATTCGGTTATGAGTGTCTTTACGTACTTTGGTGCTAGCAAAATATCAATGTCAAGGCTTCAGATAGAGTTTCGATAAAGAGGAACCAATCAATGTAGTTGCGAATTCTCAGTAACTGAATCATCTGAGATATTTATCCGCATCTGATTATGGGTTATCTCGATTCACAATATCGAAAGTCGTAATAACGGACTAGTGAAGGTCAGTCCAAGTTAACTCATCATTCTATAAAATTAATGACTTTTGATCTGAACACTGAGTCAGTCATTTAGTATCAAAAAAATCAATGGTCTAAGGTTTTAAGTGATATAGCCCAGAATAGGTTGTAAATTCACATCTTGTTCTACATCTTGAACATATTCTGTTTGAACTGAAAATGTATAGATTAGCCCTGATGCTCATAGGTTTACTGAATCAAGCTTTTCACATTAATGTATCCTGTGGTTTTCCACATATTGATACAGGTCCATAGCTTGATTCATATCTTTCCCTTGGTATTAACATGATAAACTCGGAAGCCCTATCTTGCATGAGCAGTGTTCTAAAGAATATTGCAGATTGTAATCCGCTATACATGCCACACCTTATAGAAAAATATCACTGTGTATACTCGTCCCCCAATCACAATATGTTAGTACTTATTAGCTTGAAAAATGAGGTTCTTAATCCACCCTATCCCACTAATTATTATCGTCTTATAAGATCATTTACACGTCTTATTCGAGTGAAAATACCCTAAGCCTAGCTGGTCTTGACGTTTGAGCCAATTCGTCTACATCAATTCATTTAGGTTGATGAATTTGTTGAACACATTCAATCGGTAGTTGATGGCAAAATAACGTATTTGAGTTCAACATTGAATTGGTGTGAGATTGTAGCAAATAGCATATTGCTTTACGATAATATTCCTCACACCTTTAATATATGATAAAATTAGCTAAGATGACGTCTTTTTTGTCCTGTTTTAAGATTCTAATTACTTTTACACAAGATTTCATTGTGTTCATGGAGTAAATTCTCGATTCCTGTCAACTATCATATGTTTAACTCCTTTAGTTAGGTTAGAGTACAATGCATCACTTCTACAGTATCAAGGTTTAGTAGCATGTCTTAACTTTGGTCATTGATAAACTTAATTACATACCGTTTTTTTATAGTTGTGCGACAAGCTCCGTTCGCTATAGAAGAAGATGGTTTTGGAACATTTCAGCTTCAAATTGAAGTCGCATTCCTTGACTGTGTTACTACATTTTACTATGATTTAACACTTTTCGATCAGAATGCTTTACACACATATCGTACGATACAAATGGATCCCGCTCCTGAAGATTGGAGTAAACTCATTCAACTTGGAGGAGTAAGTTAGTTCTATCATTTGTTAAAGTTGTAAATTTTATGATCATTAGTTTGTTTTAATTCTTTTCTGGTATGCTAGCTTAAATACTTCATATATTGTGTGTATTTGTGCTTCAGTATGCCACGCAAAGTAATTATGTGTATAATTCTGATAAGCTCAACTTTATTCGTCTTATTTGTATAGTACATTTACTACTTTATTAGCGGTCGTCCAGATTTTTAACCTTCTTATCCGTTTTTAAGAGGTTATTAATTAATTAATAAGAACTTTCGTCTAAATTCGATCGAATAGTTTCACAGTATTTGGGTGCCGAGTTAATGTAAGACATTAAAGAGGAAGAATGTATTTGTAAAACCTCAGCGAATGAATTTCGAAGTAAATCCAACGTTTCGCCTGGCAATCTGGTCCAAACTTTTTCAAGGAAATATAATCAAACATTAAAATTATCGAATATAAATAGGTACATGGTTCTCTGGTTCACTGTACTGAAAAGACTATCCAGTCAACGTTAACAATGTTTAAACTATGTATCTACAATAGTGTATAAGAGACGTGTGGTGTGAAAACGAAAAGTGTTAAGATAACAGATTGTGTAAGTGAGAAGAAATTTAATTCACTATATATTGTCTTCGGCCAGTGAATATTAAGAAAACATATAATTTTTTATATATGATATGAATCAAAAATGTCACAGCATTCATTAAGTGAAGATAAATAAACAATATAAAAGAATGAATTCAAAGAGGAAGAATGCATTTGTAATTGAAAGTTTGTGTTATTGTTAAATTTCCAGTCAACTGTTTAACATATTCAGATAAGATAACTGATTTGAACCGTTGAATGTATTATCTGTTAATTAGTTTAATGCAATATAGATAGAATGGAATAAGGAGTTCAGGTTTACTTATTAATTATTAGTTACCATGAGGTAGCTAATTGTATTCCATCTCTCCTATTAATACTGTTTGGATTAGCCCATATATGTAGGGCTTCAGCTGTTAGTCTTTCTTTGTAAGAATTAAAGCCTTTTTGAAGGATTCTTGTGCCATTGAAATCAATTGTATGACCCGATTCTATCGAGTGTAATGCTATCACTGATTTGTTCTCGAGTTTTTTTTTTTACCTCAACTGAAGATTTCGGAATGTGCTTCAACCATAGTTTGTGTTCTTTCACCCTCACATTCAGTTGGATTTACTTCGAATTTCATTCGCTGAGATTTTACAAATACATTCTTCCTCTTTAAGGTTATTAATTAAGTTAAAAAGAATCAGTTCTCCATATATGTATTAATCAATTACTGTGTTAGTATCAATGATTATGGTAGAATTTCCATCATTCTTTATTCAGTAGTAATTCTAACTTAGTCTTAAAAACAAACTGTATTATTTCGTTGACCCTTACACATGTAAAGTGTGTGTGACTCATAACATGATGATACACATGATAGTATTTTGTCTTTAACTTGTTTTAATTTAACCATGTTCACCCCTATATTCTGATAGTATTTTCTTATACATTAGTTTAATCTACACTTTAAATAAAATTTCGCAACATCGAACATCTTGTGTAGTTTTCACGAGTATTTAAAAAACGATCATATTATTTATTTCATTGAATAATGAGAGGTGGTTGATTAGGTGCTCTTTTTTCTGTATTGTTTAACCTTAATGATTGTTTAAATTGTTTTCATAAATTATTCATGTGAGAAAATGTCAATGAAATTACCTTCTAGACTGATATCGAATGCTTCATCTGTAAAAAAAACGAATGCTAATCAGAATGTAATGCCGGCAAAACATTCATAATTTGGTCTGCAATTATTTATCGCCTAAGAAGAATTTGTACTATATAACTAGATGGTTACCGATAAGTTTTTTTTCAGTAATATAAACTTCCTGCAAAGAATTTGAATGACTAATATCTACAAACTTGCACTTGTATATAGAAGCTAAGTTATGTGGCTTAAGTTGTTTAAAAATACTTTTATGTAGTAACTGATTATCATGAATCAGTTCAAGTCGAATAATAATTAAGTTTATCAATTCATTAGACATCGTTTCCTTATTTTTACTAACTTTAGGAATGTTTTTATTATGTGTAATTTTTGTGTTTTTTTCTTTTTAGAACTAGTTATTTTCAGTTGAGTATTGATGATCATAATTTTTCGTTTTCATTTTTCCCTACTTTGAGTAAAGACTTTACTGCAACATAAGATGAATGGAGTTCGTTTAGTGATCATTGATAAAACAAGTGTGTATGACATATATAACGTATAGTACATTTTATTTTACGTTTTGTTTTGTTTTATATTGTGGACATTAGATCGCTATTCCACGGACATCAACTCAATCTACTGTACATGAGATCGTTCAAACTATTCAGTCATACTCTGACCTAGAATCACTTCATCCATTTTCGTTCTATCCAGAATTGGAACCAACTACAAAAGCTGTTAGCAAAGTAAGTATTCCATATCTTGACTATCGATCTATGCTGGAAATGTTCATTTTCAGTTCATTACTTTGTCAAACCGAGCAGTCATATGCAACCTAGATTCTGACACATATGTCGATCGGTTTAATTTGCTATATTTTACCAAAGGAGTAATAACCTAATCTACTTGATTCAGAGTCGTTTAATTTCTATGTATAAAGTATTTCGTTATTATCATCAGATATTAGCAGTCGATTTTTTTTACGAGATTGTTTTTAATTTTGTTCTTAAGTTATTCGCTGAAATAGCTTTCTTTTACTTTTCGGAAGTTCCTTTCAGAACAAGTGTTAATTCTCTCGAAGCGTTCGAGTAATCCCGATTGAGATACGCGCAAAATCGAAGTTCCAAAACAACTATTTGTCTACAAAAACGGTTCTTTATTAAATAATACACAAAATTTAGTTACAAACCTCAACTTGTGAGGTGTCTAGGCGTTTAAACGCGTCGTTCAAGAATGAAAATAGCAAAGGCTTCCTGTAAGAGTAACATAAAGAATGATTACAACATACGATAGTCCAAAGACAGCCGATAGCTGTATCTAAATTTGATAACAGTTTATGAACAACCGAAACTCGAACCAAGAGCAAACAATATGGAAACTGTTGCGTTTAAACAAATGCATAAAACTGTGGATAACCGTTACAGTAATTAAATTACAGTGATTATAATGATAAATACAATGATAAGTAAAATAAACGTTAAAGATATATGTGAACATTTCAGACTGTTACAGTACAACCTGAGTTACAACATAATTATGAAAATTGTTGGGCATACAACTGCTTACTGAATATAAATAAGTAGTATAAACTAACATACAAAAGAGTAGGAAAGGAGTGAGCAGGAACAATGTAAAACAAACTTAACAACAAGTTACTTACAAAAGGTGGATTATTGTTCATTGTCATTGATTTTTGATGAATTAACAACATCAAGAGTATCTTTCATCACATTTTCCATTGTATGTACAACCGAGGATGCATATTCTCAAGATGTCTAGTGTACCATGTTTTCAACTGTCCTGTAATTCATTACCCGTTATATGTGAAAGCTGTACTCAGGTGAACAGTTTGTTGTTGACTGCTTGTATCAATTTTAAGGAGTCGTAATGGGTTCTCATAACCTTTACTGTGCCTTTGGGTTAACGTGTATTTTTGTAATTTGTTTATATTAACAGATTATTCTGGCACAATAAGGATTCTGAGTTTCTGTAGGGCATGATCGAAAATTAAACGATAGTGAACACATCGTTCAGTTAAGCTAGATAGTTTTTTAACCACTGAATGTTTTTTCACCAAGGTCATCCAGTCCACGTGTTTTACTCTGTGAAAAGAATTGGCTGGAACTAATATAGATACTTCAAAACCATGATGGCTTAGCGGGCACATCCTTTTGGAAATATAGGAGCAGTTTGTTATAGCCCTAGAGATTATCTTCGGTTTTGTAGTCATGAAACGTATTTATTAAACGAACAGAAGATGCATATTTCAGAATTATCTGTAGGTGTACATGCAAGAAACAGGATGTTTACATTCTCAGATTCTGATTGTAAATCTTTTTTGACATGAAAGTAACACTTGACTTAGTCTACTGACAGGTTTTGTGTCAACACCCCATCTAGGAAAGAGGTACCGAATAAGGGAAGCAAAATATTGATATCTTTGTACTCAAACACGCCTAATCACAGCATGCAGCAAACAGGCACCTAAGCTAACTGCGTCAAATAGTTTTTTTTCAGAGCTGTCCATGTTATTCATTTCTACTCAATTTCATTGTGGATTTGTTCTTAAAAAAAGCTCTCCATTTGACTTTTCAAGAATCTGTATCATCTTGAAACCCTTATCCACTCAGAGTGCTCACCCGGAAAAGTGCTCTCAGATCAGGACTCTGACAAGATACAATATTCTAATTGTGGGTCTTGAGTACACCATGCATTACTAAAAAGTCCCAACCAAGAACGACATCTACTATCCAATGCTCCTCAGTTTTTAATGATTTTTCAACTGAGGTGTGTCATGACGTTGAATCGCTTTTACCCCGTGATACTTGTTATGACTTGACCTTGGTCTGTCTAGTCTAAATTATGACCTTGGCGCGTTAGGCTGAGTGGCTTAACCTTGAGTCTAATACGCGTGAGTTCGACTGGGGTAGAGAGAACTATTCTAAATCCTGATTGGTTGGCAAGCACGCAAGTGAAAGAAGACAAGACAATTGGAACTCTAAACTCTGGATTCTCTGAATTCGAACTAGTACAAAAATGTACATAAATAAATAAGTGAATATCTTGACCACGACGTACGATAATTTGGAAAAATACAGTTATGACCGAAACAGGGAATTAGGGTAGAAAATACAGTGCAAAATATTATGTTTAAATTACAATATTTTTAGAACAAAAAAGGGTATGCTAGTGAATAATACATAGAACGAAAGCTCGTGTTATGTAGAATAAGATAGGGACAAAAATAAATATAAGTGTTTTACAGGTTTTGAATAAAATGCAATAACGTCCCAAGAAAATAGCTTTCGTAATTGTCTGGGCTTCTTAATTCCCCGTTCATAACAAGGTGATTTACAAATGATGAATTTCTCAGACGTGTGTTTTTATTTTTGTTTCATTGCTTTTGGTAATATCTTTATCTTAAAATCTGCATTGTATCAGGATAAATCGATTGCTTATACAAATCAAAACAAAGTGCAAAATTATCAAGAGTCCGATGTATATCCAAACTCAAAAGTATTGGACTACAGCTCAAATTATCAAACTTTACATTATGATGAATTAGTTAGAAAATCACCGGAAAAGCATAATTTCATAATGGATTCAAATGTTAGGCATAGTTTACCAGTATCATCTTCATCCTCTTCGGATCGATTATTGACAAATCAACATCTACCACAAAAACATAAAAAGAAATTACAATTATTACATGAAGCTCAATTATTATTGGAAAAAGCACAACAGAGTAGAAATTGGGCACCGGTAATCTCTCCACCTCCACCACCACCTGTGCAACCACTTATAACTGGAACTATAAATAGTCCTGAAGATAGTCATATACCTTCACCGAATCTATCTACGTGGTCTTCACAATTAAGTCCATCAAGATCAAGTTCACACGATCCGACTGATGTACTGAATCATCATCAACATAATCTATCCTATGAAAATCAAAAATCTCCTGTTGCACAATTTCATGAGGAACCAATCGTCGATCCGCCATTCAACAAATCTCCAAGATCTGACTCGACTAGGTTAGTATCTATGATTGGCTCTAGTCACGATAGTTCTGGTCCTAAACAACGTATTGTATTAAAATTATCACGATCGAGTTGTGGAAGTCAGTTGTCTGTTTCATCTTCACAACCACTCGAAGATGAATCTATGGAAAGATCGGAAAGAAAAAAACGTAAAAAAGAATCAAAGAACGAACGTCGTAGTAAGAATTTGGGGGTAAATTTACCGTTTTGCATTTCATTATAAGTTAAATTATATGTTTATTTCCCAGTAGTTTTTCTTTTTAATGTAGATTAATTTTGTAGTGGTGTTTTATGAAATAAGCGAAACAAACTGAGGAATTTGATAGGCTGAAGTGTATGAATTTGTTAATAAAAATATTGGTGATAATAAGCATTTCTGGCAAAAACGACTACTTATTGTCATGTCAAATGATAATTTTCCATAATTTCCTTTATGAATATGTAAATACCACTAAATAGCCTTTATTAACATGATAAACTTGTTCGGAATAACTTTCAGGTATATATATGTGAACTAGACCTATCTATCATTAGAGTTGAATGCCACTATTACATAAACGAAAAGAGGTAAACTGATTCTTATATGAACGAATTTCAGTTTTGTAAAGTGGTAAAGTTAGTCAAAAATATGATTAATAGGGGGCTATCTATGTTACACGAAAGCTTATAACTTAATTAGTGTTTTCATCGAAGTTTCAGGTGAATAAGGTTCCGATAGACTGATAACACAAAATTGTGTAGTTTCTCTTCATAAGAAATACTCATGGGAATGATTTTCATTAACTCATTATAGTCACTAGATGAAAATGATATTCATAAAACTAGGACATTAAATTATCTGACTATGAGATATGATGAAAAAGTAAAATAGACTATTGTAAAAAGGGGACACTAACATATTATGACTACATATTGCATTCTGTCTATTTAACCATGCGTTAAGTTGATTGTCGTCAAGTAGCCAATCAGTTCTCGCTATTGGTTATGAGGCTTCATTTCCGACTATCAAGAATTCTTACCAATAACTCGTGGCTTTAGTCCTTAACTTCGTAAAGTTAACATTTAGAGTCTTTTGATTTCTCTATTTTAGGTTGGTTAGCTTCAAAAAAATCAGACAACATTCAGTTTATAACTGAATACTGGACAACTGCTCCTCGTTTTAACAATTTGTGTTACGAGTGCTCTGTATTTTTCATCCACATCCTGACTATCTGTTTTGCAAGCCAGTATAGTAAAATACCTTTGAAAATATCTTACAAAGTGGGACACTTTAGTAGGCGATTCAATATCCATAGTAATATTACAGTGGTTATACACCTTCGTCTTTATAATTGGATTGATTTCTGTTACTATAAAATTTATGAGATTTTCCAGATACCCAACAGATGTGATAGAACATTGATTTTTGTTTTGCGTTCAGTAAGTACTTGTAATCGATCCAGGTTTATTTGCCCACTGAAATGTTTTCTTACTGTTTTATTAGTGAAGATTTGTTGATTTGATGAAACGTGTTTTTTTGTTGTTGTTGTTGTAGTAGTAATGACGTTATAAGTTTACCAAACTCGGAGATTGTTTAAGATATTTCTATTAAACTTGTCTTTGCTAACAAATAATATCAAATTTAATACATGTTTGTATTTATAAAATTTTTACCACTAGAGCTCGCCTACAAAACATTCGTCTGAATGTCATAATACTACTGTAGTGACTACTACTAATACCACTAATGTTTATACTTTGAATAAAGATATAATTAATACTGTCACAAACAAGAGTAAACAAGCTGCACAAATATTTTCTTCGGAAACATCACCTTCATTATGTAAAAGAAATTCACCAAGAAAGTATTCATCTCATGATACGTATTCAAATGATTCAAGTCCTGAATTAACATATAATTCACGTAAATCTACACTAAATAAAAATCTTAAAATTTCCTTTGATAACAACAATAATAATAATAATCAGAAAACCTTTGTAGATGCTGATGAACACGATGATCTATTTAAATATAATCGAAGAAATTCAAATCAACAATATTATCAACAATATTCATCGGTTAATAATATACAACAGGATACAAATGATACATTTACATCTGATATTGATTCATTATGTGATTCTGTTAGTCGATCAACTCATTCACATTTACTTCTTATTGATCAAAAAGAAGATGATTATCATGATGAATCCGGAAGAGAAACTCCAGTAGTTGATTATTTTGGTGATGAATTTCAACAACAACAACAACATAATCAGAAAGATCAACAACATTCATCTGCATTTTCATCGTCAACAATTGGATCTTCATTGATGGTAAGAAATGTCAAATATCCTGATGAAATATCTATTGTTAATAGTCAAAATCGTATCCAATCAATTATTAACAATGATACTAATAGTAATAATAGATTAGATGATTCAGGAGAACCATTAACACATTCAGTTATTGTTAATACAAGTAGAGAATTATATGAAGAATTTAATGATTTTACATCATTATCAAAAAATTGCTCAACTTATGAACATTCTAATGATCAAGATGATATAAAACGAAATAAATTCAATATAGATGAAAAAATCAAATTAAAACAATTAAATAATAAATTAAAGCATAAAAATTCTTTTAATTCATCAATTAAACTATTATCTCATACAGGCGTAAGTTATTAAAATTCTTTCTATCAATAAACTTATCTAGATTTGTTGTTTACTTTATAAAATATATGTAACGCATTGATTTGTCAATAGAACTATCTATAGAGTTATATTACACATAACACAATATATCATCGTTTCTATGAACTCTTATAATTGTAATGAAAAACAAAAGCATAGTTTTCGGATAATGCATATGAAAAGAAATCATATGTCGTTAAATCTACTGTTATGTAAAATTTTCTTCATTTTTTTCTTAAACAATTAGTTTTTAAACAATTGAGATCATGAGTCAATTGAAGCTAGACCACCATGGAAAACCTGGAAGCACTGGACGGCCATTTCGTCCTATTGTGGGACTCCTCAGCAGTGCGCATCCACGACCCCACCTCGCGGGATTTACTTTTCGTTATTTACAATTTCCCATTAGGTTCAATTTGGAAATTAGTGATATCAATATCTTCAATTCTTTTGTATCCAGTGATTCTAAACTCTGTTTTACTTTTCACTTGATTAAAAGGTATTACCTGTTTGATATATTTTACAGTTAAGGATATTTACAATACTTAGTTTTTGTAAGTCAACGTCTTTATGATAAAGCTTACGGATGAAATACTCAATTGCTTGATAGATTATTTTGATGTGCCGTTGACTGGTATGTTTTAATACTTGGTCCACTAGGGTGCTTGGTGCCTGTGTGGTTACGCCACAGGATTGAGCTGTACTATTCAGATTGTAGCGTTAAAGCCTATACGATGTCTCGTTTTCCTGTGAAACGGGATTGAGTTGTACTTCTCGGTTTATAAAATTTAAGCATGGGCGGTGTCTGGCTCTCCTGTTGAATGGGATTGAGCTGTACTGTTTGGGTTGTCACGTGAAAGTCTGGATGGTGTCTGGTTCTCCTGAAAACCAATGTAAAATTACCTTGGCCCACAAGGTTATATTATATAACTATGAATAACTATGTTTTAATACTGTGCATCTAAACTAAGGACATTTTTTGTACTATCCATGAGGTTATAAACGAAATTTGAGTAGTTGCCCCAAAGTATTTTTCTCAAAGGTAAATAAACGTGTTCAATTACGTGGAATGATTGACATATTCAAACTACTTCATGATTTTTGTTCACTTAACCCCTTCTCTGAATTTCAAATTTTTATTCCTGTAGTTATTTATGGTTTTCATTGATCACGAATTTAAGGGGTTTTTTAAAATTAGATTCAACAGATATATGGTATTATACATGTAACATTTTCTACTTGTATACGAATTTGCCCTATTAAGTGATTCAAACATTTTAGGGTTTACGGACCAGTTCGCATTTAATGTTTTGTTTTGGGAGTTGTAAATACTGACTTTCTGTTTATTGCGCGCAAACAAGAACAGTAATGAAATTTTTGTTCTTGTTGCTTTCTCTATATACCAACTGAGATAATAGACCTTGGGTTTCGAAATTACTTTACACCTTTTATTCTGGGGATTTATTCATTCTTCTCAAACCATTTTATCTTTACCTAATGTGTTTTTACCATCACTGACATACTACTACTATGATACTTTTCTTGATAAGTTTACCTCACTGGGTTAATATGGTATGTGCTAGGTCCCACATTATTTATGACTGACTGACAGTAGTCTTGTGACTAACGTATTTTTCATTTAAAAATGATTAATTGCTTATGTAAACACTCATATACTGCCAAATACAGTATTTTAATTACTTATTAAAGATTTATGAGTGAGACTGTTTGTTTATTTTTAATTTAGTTCATTCAACATTTTTAAACTATGGTTATTAAAATGTTACTTAACAAGTTACGCATGTAACAACTCAATTACCTGTTTATTTTCCTTTTTATTTAGAAGAACCAACTAGATCTTGAAAGATCCATTGACTCAACAATTCGGGTACCACCACCAGTAAAACAGTTTAAAGTATCAGATCATTCCAATTCGATGAATAATAATTGTCAGTCAAAATCACTTAGTAATCTCGAAAGTCATTCAGCAGACGTGTATAATAGAAAAAAGCCAGTTGCGAAAAAATTCAAATCTCATGATAGCTCGTCTTCTTCTTCTTCTTCTTCATCATCATCATCATCCTCTTCGTCTTCAACAACATCGTCATCGTCAAAACGATTGAATATACCTGCAGTTGATCATTCTACATTGTATGGAAATTCACCAACCATTCATAAAACAAAAGACAATGAGTTGAAAAATATGGGTAAATTTAAAACAATTGAAAAGTCATCAGAACAACGGCAACACTCATCAAATAAAATGCTACCCAGCGATCATGAAACATGTAAGTTGTTTTAATTATTTTCTTTGTTTCCGCTGATTAACTTCAATGAATACACATATGACGTCACCGAAGAGTTTCAGTTTCTTTAATCCGATATATTTGTTAGTAGTAAGGAATTCTGAGCACAAAATATGCAGTATTTCAACAAGTGGCCCATGTTTTATCTATATGTTAAATATTCATTAATAAGAAGCATAAGAAGGTAGTTCAGCCATGATTCACTGTTGTTTCTTTATTTCTGAACATTTTCAAGCAGTTTTAGCCCTTTTCTATCCTTTTTTCGGTAATTTATTGCATACATTATATAAGTTGCATCTCATTTAATAATACAAGCAAGAAATTTACTAGAAGTGACTTTTTTCGCTTCAATTTTGAACCAATTAGCTTCACTGTAGGTTGTAAGCTTTTTATGAAACTGTATGTGAGTACACATAGTTAACATGTATAGTTAGTCAGTAACTGATTGACGGACTGACTGAGTCAGTTAAAATAAATCCAAAACAGTAAAATTTGTTTTAAAGTATCAGGTGATCCAGATTGTTAAGGAAATAATACCTAATATAAATTTTCATCAATATGACGTCATAGTGCAAGGTGTTTTATATCTATAATCTCAATACAGTTGAAAAAGTTGGCTATTTGATGAATTAGCTGGTATAGCTCAAGTTTTGACATTAATTTTCATGTAAACCGTCTGAATGATAGTATTAAGAAATTTCGGAATATTCGGGACAGTTGCGCACGTCTACTATTTTTACATTTCATATGGCTTATACTTTTTAAAGTTTCTATAAATAGTAATTGTGAATGTTAAGTGAGTTATAATCAAAGTAGAGAGTGATGCAAATGTGTGTTGACCCAAGTTTTCATACCTTATTAATACGACAAGATGAATAACGAAAACGATCAAAGTAGTGTTGTAGCAATAAGATGAGAACTAACCATTGGGAATATGGTTGATAAATACAAAATACAAAAGCATATATGAGCGAATTCTGAGACTTACACTGTCACAACATAATATTATGGATATTCTGTTATGATTTTTAGTGTGGAGGGAAATGGCTTATCGTAGTAGTGTTTACTGATTAGATTAATTGTCATAATGATGAAACAGATGGAAAAATAGGTCGTGTGTGCTGGATTTAAATTAAATTATACATACTAGAAAAGAACCAATCACATCTTGCATTTTTATTTAAAATAGGTCTCAATATGCACGTATATATCAATGCTAGTGTACTCAATTCTAAATGAACAACTGTTCACTAGCACCTAATTGATTTTCAGCCTTTTTTAAATACTTTTTACGGTTGATAGGAAAGAGAAGTAAGTCATTTTGAATCACTTCATCACTTGTTTCAATGTATCATAGTGTTTATACCATTAATTCAGGGGTCCTTCAGATTTCTTATGAAGGGTATCGTTGAGACTTTTCATTTTGTGTCCACTAATTGTGACATCAGTTTGTATGAATAATACTGGTGCCCGCAACACAGCTGTGATGTATTCTAATATTGATTGGGTCAGCCGGATTTTTTTGTTTCCAATCAACTCAACTAAATCATGGCAAAAGTCACGCAATGCACATATTTCGATTTCTACATTGCATATGGTTGACTAAGTCTACGAGAGAAGAGTTCTCAAGATTGAACCTTTTTCACCTCTTCGCCCATTTCTAACATAAAATAAGAAATTCACGCTTCAGATCAGTCAACGATGTTTGCCCGCCTATAATTCCTAACTGGCACAAGACCATGACGTAAGCTTTCTTGTCAATAGCATCCAGGAAATCTACGCGACAAAAGGGTGTACCCTAATGTCAATTCTCCTTGTGGTATTTACAACATTGAAACTTGATCTTCAGAATTCGATCCGATATTGGGATGTAGGTAGTCTGATATTAATTAACAACCACTTTGTGTAATTAAATTGCACTTCCTTAACAGTTACTAATACAAAGGTGCTGTTTGATATTGTTTATTTTTGTGTGACTGACCTGTTTTAATGGTAGAAATTATATTTAGATCACTTAGACTCCCGAGTTTTTATAAAAATAATGATCGTGTAAAATTTCAATTTTTTTTCATAAGTTTATTTTTTTTTCTGTCACTATCCAGGGAAATCAATGACAGTCTCCGGTACACATAAATATGCTTCGAAAGTTTTATATCCCACTGAGAATAATAAGCAAAATAATAATGAACAATTGGCAATGAGAGAACAGTCAAATCGAGGACCTTCCAATAGTTCCACTTCATTCGACAAAGTTAGTAACGACAGCAATAACATCGCAACATCAACTGTGTCGCAAATCGATAATGACTTTATTAATACAGAGTTATCATCTTTATCTTCGGATTCACCATGTGATTCTTCATCATCCTCTGTCACTCCACCAATGTTATCTGATGAAACTTTTCATTTGATAAGTGTGAACGAAGTTGAATTCGATGAATCTCAAAGTGGTACTGTAAACAACTCAAAATCAAGTGTAAACAAACCTATTGCAACTCCGGCTTCTCTACTCTCGGTACGTGGATCAAAATCTGTTGCCGTACAGGAGAAAAACGATACAAATCCCACCAGTAAAGTAATCTCATCTAATAATAATAGTAGCAAGTTGGAAAGATGTATGAATCTCGATCATCAGGTTACTTCTGCAAACGTTGACAACGATAATTCAGAATCCACAAAACCCAGTGATTATAATTTGGAAGTTTTATTCGATAGATTAATTCGTTTACGTGAACCACATCTAGCTATTCGTATGAGTGAAATCCTGTTATACTACATATCTGTAAAACCACTTGATTCTTCAGAACGTAAAAATAAGTCAAATCTCAGTGCATCCAATAGTAATAACAGTAGTAATTTTGGCAAGGGTGTAAAAGTGATACACGATAACCCTAAATTGATTGCATTTGACCTGCGTAAGTTACCTAATTCATGCATTGAAAAATTAACAGCTCTTATTAAAGAAGATGAAGATATATTTCGAAAACACAATTTCACAACTCTGTCTAAATCAAATGATATAAAAAATAGTATATGTAGTGCTAGAAGACCTGTTCTCACTGAAGACGTTGGCCGTAATGATAACTTTCATAATCCCGATAGGCGTTATGAGTGCAGTGATCAAAGAGATTCCTCAGGATCTGGAGATCCATAGTAATTTTACTTTATGTTTGTGATAACCCTTCATCTCTTCGATATTAAGACGATTGCACATGTAAGGTGATGCCACGCTTTTCTGCTTTGTACATTATATTTCCGTATATACCTGATTTCTACTTCTTTCTTGTCTTATCATTATTTTGTGCACAGATACGTGTTTTAGTTTATTTGCTTTTCTGAAAACAAGACTGTACATATACCCGAAGTTTTCAAAGTTTCTTGTACTTTGCTGTTCGTCTAACTTGCTCAAAATACATGTCATTAAATGATATGCATTCGTATGATTTTGTGTTGTATTTCTGGTTTTCTGCAATTTTTCACACTTAATGCCTTACAGCAAAATCTTAGTGGACACTTCAGTGCACAAAGCTCTTTTCTATCATACAAATTTCATTTCGAGAGTTACCTTGTTCTCATTTTTACCCAATATGTGCTCCGGAATATCATCCACTGTATGTTTAGAGTAAGTAGCTGACGTGCTCACTAAAGCATACTGTCTCAGTAACGTTGTTTAGGTTGAGTAGATTGAGTTACGTCATTGATGTGCGGAAATCTGTCATACAACTAGACAGGAAGTTGGATAAAGCCTTGTTTGATGGAACTTTTGTATCCGTTTTCTTGTAGTTTAGTTAGAGGTGAAGTCTGTCCTTGCTTCTTGTAATTCTAGTTCCTGTTATGCAGTAGCGTGGACTCGGGGAATTTCTCAAACCAAGGGAAATGTGAATTTTTTTATAGATTAGGACTTTTTGCTAGTAGACACGCCCGACCCAACGCAGGACTTAATCTGAGGTGGACTGCCTCAGTTCTGTGTTACCTCCAGGCTAATGTATTGAATTATGGTCTGCATTTCTACTTGTCAGTCTATAGGGTAACATCATCCATCTTTCAAATTTGCTATCGTGTGTTGAAGATCAAATCCTAGTTTAGGAGTTCGAGTGTTTTTCCTGTAAATATTTTACTACCCTGGCAATTGTAGGGTTTTCTTGAGCTTTCCTGAAGAAGTAGTTAATTTCTAGATCTCTCCTAGTCTGGAGACTTCATATTTTTCTACGGAGAGTTGATCAGGTCGATTTATAAAACCTATTATGTATGCATCGACTGGTACCGGGCTCGATGGATAGTCTATACTGGGCTTCAAAATTCGATACTGTGTCTTATTCTTCAATCACTAAGACCGAAGTGACCAACTGTTTTGATATAGTCAAGTATGTCACTATATCTTCTCTGTTCTAGGTCCACTGGCATTGTCTGGGATTTTTAACTTTACGAAGCGTATTCCAGACAGACACATCCATAGAAGGAAAAAAAGTCCAGTTTACTAACAAACAACTTTGGTCTTGACCATGATATGTATTTTGGACACACATTGTGCTAACTCCTTAAGTACAAGTGCAGTGAGAGAACACTCAGGTGGCAAGACCAATTTACTACTTAGTACAAGATTACTTCATCGTAAATTATGAAAACCATACATTAAATACTCCACTTGCACATCTCTAAGTTGTCTCTTACAAACTTCATTGTCCCATCATTCATGTTTTTGTTAAAACCACTGGTTACAATCTTGTTTTACCCAATTCGACCTTCACAACCTTCTTCCAGGCACTCCACTTCTAATGGGTGTTTAATACTACATATATCTGTCGACCCAAGTAACATAAAACACACTACGACTCGTGCAAACCATAATGATCAGTCTGTTTTGTTTTCTGCATGAATATACTGCAAGTGACCCGCTTCCAGTAAATTTTTACTCATCATCTGGAGGCGTGAGTGTTGGTTACCAAATTAAGAGGATGGGAAGCAAATTTTCGGCACAATGACCTGGTTGATGAGTACGGAAAATCCTTCTAGAGGGGATTGAAAACACTGATTCTAAACCAGTGGTGAACATGAACTCCGAAATTCTTGGGAAACAAATGGTGTCCGTCATCAGTTATCACGTAAATGCATCTCTTAATGCTGATTTTCTGCCTCGTAGATGTGACCACAAGATCGAAAACTCGAGCCACACATAAACTAAATGATGACTTTAATTAGAAAAAATATTCACGATTTAATTCTCGTTCTAGCAAATCATACTAAAAACTAGTTGTTAATAATTATCTTCATTTGACGTAGGGTCATTTGTCTATCCCTTTATTCACGTTTTGCATATTCCTTTTGTTGTTGCCTCTTATGACAGCCCGCCAGTTGTGTAAATCTTGTCCTATCTAAGCAATCTGAAGTCTCTGACTGGTAGTAAGTTGGACGCTACCACTGTCGAAAAATTCTGAACCAGCCCATCTGAAACCGTGTATGGCGCTAAAACACGCTCACTTCACTTTTCTCACATTAATGTAGATAGGATAAGAGGTAGGGTTAATTACGCCTTTAAAACATCTTGTAGCAGTATGTAGATTCTCGAAATAAATCTCTAAGTCTCCAACATTGATGCTGAACTCTTTAGTTTTACTGGGTACAAGCTAACTGAAGGAGCTCGGTTATTACGACGTAATACGCATCACTTTTAATCACTATCCGGCTTGGACCAAACGCCTCTCAACATATCTACAAACATGCAAATATACCTTTGGACTCATTAGCTGACACCCTTGAGTTCTAAGTGTAATACAGATAAGAGCGTCGTCAAACCTTTACTACCTGTAGCATCTTCATTTTTAACATCTATGTCTGTTGTTTATCTGAGACTCCCGTTAAAAACTATCATGATGTACTGCAATTTATCTTTCCACCTGTCACCTCCGAAAGCCTATTTTGCATGTGTTTATCCGGGGATACGTTGGAATCTTCTGGTTTTTCCTGACCTTGTCAAAATAAGCGGTAGGGTTGAGGCTGTAGCGATAAATAAATCCCCAAAATAAATAGCCCTGTGAGTTTCCGACATTGGATGCTGACCATATGTTTTAGTGGACTTGTAAAACTATGGTCTACTATGATATTAGTACTGCTCTAATAATAGACCTAATCCTAAATTTGTAGATTTGTCATGATATGACTGCCTAATCTATAAGATCTTACGTGGAAGTCACACCATTGACTACACCAACACACTGTATCGTATCAATTACCAATACATGATGTAGAACAAGGTTAGGCTAGAGAAAGAACAATATATTTAATATGAATAGAAGATATAAGGTAACATTCAACAGAGACCACGCCTGCATGGCCGAGCCATGCCACTCGATCAACTCGGCAACGCTCCTACAGTATCGTCCAATCATTGGTGCGTCACGTCGACATCTCGTGAAAATTTTCAGAAGCGGTCAAATCAAGACATTTTTAGATTTGAATTGAGTTCAGCCACACCATGTCGATTAACGTTCGTTCTTCAAGTAACGAAGACGATGCCATCGTGATGATGCATGATATAGGTAATATGACTTCTGTGGTTAGTAATTATTTTTTTACTATACGCATACTAAGTACGTTATGTCAGTATACAAAGAGAACAGTGATGATCCAACTCTAAAGTACTTTTTCGTGAGTTATTTCTGTACTTGTGGACGTAAACGCAGTTCGTCAGAGTCAGATGCTTGCGTTCAGGATGTAGATGATGGTAGTAATAATCATTCTTCTAAAGAGCTTACAACTTCTAACTCGCCAACACAACCTAGGCAAAGGAGACGACGTCGGTCATCTACGTATGCATTACTTCAAATGAATTTATCCTTCAGGTCAAAATATTGCGTTTCAGTGACTACATGCTGCCCTGTGGTCATATTTTGTATGCACATTCTAAAGATCTGATTCGTGGAGGTATGTGTAATCCTTTATCTCTACATGTTTTGTAGACTTATTTCGACATAGCAACAAGTGGACAAGAAAATACATAATGGACCTGGTTCTTCGTGCGCTGGACAACATCTCAATCTCTACAGGGAGTGGTGATCTGCTAGAGAAGTTCACCAGCAACTATCACTCAATCCATGCTCTTAGTGAACCTTTGGCAAATAAACTCATCCGTTCATGCCTCGGAGCATCGGAAGACATATGCGCACAAGTGATGAGTTCAATCGGTGCTAATGACGAAGCTACAACGTCAGAATCAATTGTTAATACAGACCATAGCTATGCTTCTTGATAACAAGAAGTTCTAATATTGTAATCTTTTTAGTTTTACATAAATTCATTTATATGGCAATTGACTTATTCTTATAGCGTAACGGCAGGGAGTGTACTGTGCAGTCTTATCTGGCTGTGAGACAGGGGTGTTGTTTCGCGTTTTTGTGTAATAATTACCAGTTTGGCGCACACGCGACTAGTCATTCTTACCGTTTACCAAATACTGCTACATTGAACATGGTGTACCATACTAGTAGTTCGAATACCGACCTGCCACGATAGATAAGAATTGCCGTAATTAAAAGACTGGTGCGTTATAAATGAAAACGTTTATTAAAGTTTGAATCTAGCACAAATGATCTATTAATAAATGACTTCTATTTCTCAGGAATTGTTCCCGTTACGTCTGTGAACGCTTGCGAAGCTAGCTGTAAATAAGATAGATAGGAAATAGTTGTTGCAGTATAAATGTTTACCAGAAACTAGTTTAAAAACGGAAAGTAGTATTCAATTACAGATCGAAAGTGCATATTCAAATGGTTCAAATGGTTCAAATGGTTGTGGACGGAATAGAAGAAGCTTTCGCTTAACAGGCTTCCGTGTCTAGTAGCAGGGGATCACCAAATCCTCCAGGCAGGAACCTAGGTATGTTAACAATAAAAGAGGAAAAGAAATTGGTAAATCATAGTGCGATGCTGTCCTTGGTCCTTAAGAATAGGTCAAGTTGCCTCTTGAAGGACTCCTGAGAAGTCGCTTGGACTAGCTCGGCCGGCAGCGAGTTCCAGCTTTTGACAACTCTTAAGGAGTAGAAGTTGTGTCTACATTCCGTCTTGCTATGTTGTGTTTCCAGTTTCTGGGTGTTACCCCTTAGGTTATTATTCGAACTAAGCTTAAGTAGGTGTTTAAGAGGATGTCCAGAAGTGTTAAGAATACTATAAGCCATTAATAAATCACCTCTAAGACGCCTATATTCTAGTGGGTAAAGGTCTAGTGAACGGAGGCGTTCTTCGTAAGGCTTAGATTTGAGTCCTCGAACTGATTTCGTGGCTCGCCGTTGGATACGCTCCAAAGTGACCTTATCCTTTTGGAGTGAGGGGGGAGTATTATGTTTCCGTACTCTAAATGGGGACGGATGAAACTATTGAAGATTGTGTGGAAAGTTCTTCCGTCAAACTGACCAAAAATGCGCCTCAACGTTACCAGTGCAAGGTTTGCTCGGAAGGCATTTTTGTCACAGTTAGCGTAAGACTTTAAGTCATGGGGCACCAGGACTCCTAAATCTTTTTCGACTTGGGATACTACTAGAGAGGAGTTTCCTAAGTTGTAACTGTAG